AAAGAATGCTCTTTAGGTTGAGGATAAGATTGATCGGTGAACCGCATAAAAAATGCAACTTAAGTCACATGCACTAAAAGAGAAACAAATCTACTCTTCAAAGTATGATGAACATATCTAAAGTTGCAAGATACATAATATTCAAAAATATGTTCACATATATGGTTCTTTGTTCCTGGTAGTTTTCTCACTACTGACTTACAGCATCTTCACAGCATCATCCAGCCATCCTTAAAACACAATAAAAATTGTCCTCAATCTTCAATTTTATGAAGACTTGCCAAAAATCTGACTCAGTTGGGATAACTCTTGAAGATGCTGTAGTTCAGGGGTGTCAAACTGCCAGCCCGCAGGCTGGATGCATCACGTGAAAACTGTGCCTCCGGCAAGGGGAAAAAAGTCGTGTTATGTTGCGACAGATCATGTGACATGGCGAGTTTGACACCCCTGCTGTAGTTTAATGAAGAGGAAATGATTTAAGAAAGGAAGTTTTGAAGGCGGAAAAACCCTACTGCCTTGATACACCTCTGAGACCAAAAGATTGGAGCCTAGAACTCTTGATCTCCTAAAGCAGGGTGAAGAAAGAGTGTTTGAAACAAAGGGAGGAATACCTTAGTTTACAATGAAGAAGGATTTTTAATTTGCTAAGCAACTTTCATGAGACTGGTCAATGAAGGACAAAATAAAAGCCAATCTGTGGAGAAATTAATTTGTAATTCAGCATAATTTTAAAACAGAATGGTACAAGTATTATCTATTAACTTTGATTGGGAGGGGGTAGGAAAAAAGATCTGAAACTCAAAATAGGGTGATAACACAATCTCTTTGGGGGGAAAAGTGAGGCTTATAATAGTGTATAAGAGAAAAAGATGCCAGTCCTTGTATAATAAAGGAGTAAACTGGTAAGAAAGAAGAAAAAATAAATATTAGGATAGAAAGAAGGAGCATATGACAGAAACTAGAAACAAAATGTATGTGGAGGACTGAGACTGAAAAACAGTGGGAGCCAGAAGGAAGATGAAGAAAAAGTACAGAGAAAATTGGCTGGAGAAGCTGGCTCAGATTTATTTTTTATCTTATCTTAATATTTTTATAAAGTGGCAGACATACCTAATATTCCTTCCTCTTCCCATTTTCACCACAACAACGTGTGTCAAGTGTGTTGGGCTAAGAGAGAGTGACTGGCCAAAGTACTCAGCTAGCTTCATAGAATGGGTAGTCCTTGACTTATGACCACAATTGAGCCCAAAATTTCTGTTGCTAAGTGAGACAGTAGTTGAATGAGTTTTGCCCCATTTCATGATCTTTCTTGTTGTATTTAAGTAAATCACTGCAGTTTAAGTTATTAACATGTCATCCCCATTGACTTTGTTTGTCAGGTTACAAAAGCTGATCACATGATTCCAGGACAATGCAACCATCATAAATTTGAATCAGTTGAATCAGTTGTCAAGCACCTGAATTTTGATCATGTGACCCTGGGGATGCTGCAATGGTCTAAGTGTGAAAAATGGTCATGTCTCTTTTTTTAGTGCTGCTGTAACTTTGAACGGTCACTAAATGAACTGTTGTTAAGTCAAGGATGCAGTCTAAAGAGGCCATACAAGACACACAAAAAAGCAGCCTGTATAGAGGGCTTATTCACACCCTCTTAAGCTCTAATACAAACAGCAATTCTCTTCCTACAAATCAGCTAAGGCTTTTCAGCAAGTAAAGAAGCTGTAGTAAGGGAAAGTGAACCCAATCTTTGGGCAAAGTGGTCTGAAGGAAGATTGGTAAACTAAATAATCTTTGAGATTTGGCCAACAACTGCCAAATCTTAACAGTGCTTAAATCAAACACAATTCTGAACTGTTTGTGATCACTTCAAGGCACGACATTGGTGTGATGGTGAAATAGCCACGTTGGAATGCATCAAGAAGAGTCGAAAGAAAGAGTGTCCAAAGATACCCAGGGTCTCTTCAGCCGCTTCCCCGGTGCCTGAGAAAGCAGCCATTTCCACTAGGACGCCCGTGCCTTGCAGAGTTTAGGCCAAACTTGCTGGCAACACGCAATCTAATCCATTCGCGGAGCATTAGGATCAGGAAGGGTGGGTTAAAGAACTCGTTCGCTATCTTCTGACTTAGTGCGATAAGAAAGGGAAGGAGGTACCTAGACCGCTTGCTTTCATTTGCGGTGCCCGCCGCTGAATCCAACTCAATTGGAAAACCCGCAGGGCCTCCATTCTCTTGACCGAGTCAGAAGGCGTCGGAGGCAGAGGCTGCCAAATATTGTAAAATAACCGAGAAGAATTAAAGAGTGATAGAGTCCATACCTCTAATTTCATATTACAATGGCCCTACACCTCGTGAACCCTTAAAGTAGCCAGGAACAGTAATAATTTTAAAAAGGTTATTACTTGCCAGCGAATCCGAAGGCATTAAATCCTACTGCTGGAAGCGATCCTCCTTAATGATCAGACTCGCTTTCAGTCTTGTTTATTGCTTGATCTGGTTTTGCTCCTCGGATCGCGTGCTAACGTCAGCAGATTTCCCTTTCGTTTTCGTCCGATTTCTCTGCACTGGGGTGAGCAGAAGGTGAGGTCTGTTGTCCCGTGGCTGTTTTCCTTCATCTTCCGAGGGAATCCAGTCGATTTTTCAGAAACTACTGTTCGACATTTTGTTTATGCTTTTTAAATATTCATGTGTCACAGTTTAGGCACGCCTTTGTAAGGCTCATAGAATTATGAATATTGTAATTGTGATGAATTTATCTAAACATATCATTAGAACATGAAAGTTTGGTAACGAAGCAGAAATGATCCTCGCGTTGTTTTAGGCGCTTTTGTTTCGTCGTTCCTGGCTTTCGCAGTACACAAAGCGCCAACGATTTCAAATTTCAGAGCAAGCCTGTAATAAGGTTTCATAAGTACAAAGAGGACAGCAGTTATTATTAGTAGGGCGGAGGTCTAGGCTCGTGTTTCTCGACCTCAGCAATTTTAAGACGTGCGAGCTTCAACTGCCAGCATTCCTCAGCCTGTATGAAGTTGAACATCTTAAAATCGAGAAACACGTTTTTTTTCAAAACGGCCCCGTTAAATAACGCACTCCAGTATTCCCCGGGTGACGCTCTTTGCAGGAGAGAGGGTAGCGACTGGGATGCGTTGCGCAATCGCACCTAACACATTGCAGTTCTTAAAAAAGATTTCCTCTCAGAAGCAGAAAAAGCAACTGCTTGCAAACACCAATAGGAAGAGAACAGAAATTCTTATCGCATAGTGTGTCTTCGTGCACATAGACAGAAACATGATGCAATGCACAAAATGCACAAGGTTCATTATTTCTAGGCAGTTATTACAATTGCCAATTGTAGGCTTCCTTGTTTTTTTTTATTTCGGAGGGTTGGGATTTTGTTGCTTGCTTATCAGGGTTTTTCTTTTAAGTAGTCCAATTAGAACAGATTTTTTAATGCTTTCATGAAGGCAATAGCCATATATACTTTCATTGCTGTCTTATTGTTCCTTTCACATAAGATCTGAAAAAGCTTACTAAATTCTAAAACTCATCCATTCATGCAGCCTAATTTAGGTGTATAGGTAGTCCTCATTTTCCAACCATAATTGTGCAATTGGCTACCAATAGCTAACAACCTGTGCAATTGGCTAACAATAGATAACAATAACCATAATTGGAACCAACAACTCCTTGGCTAAGTGACACAATCATAAAATGAAACATCATGTGATTATGCCAACATAGGACATCAGTTCCAGCAGCAGTTAAGCATATCACTTGACTGCAAGTTATCTCTTCTTGCCAGCTTCCCACTGACTTTATTTTTTCAAAGCCTGCTATGAAAATTGCAAATGGTGATCATGTGACCATGGGGACAACTTTGACAACTGGTTGTAAATCTTTTTCAGCACTGTTGTAACTATGAACAGTAACTATGGTCAGTAAGCAAGATGTCCTTTCTTGTTATAGCTATGTGCACCCAGCGTAGAAACACCTGCTAAGATGTAATCTTGGTGTTCTTTATACTTTTATATCTGAAAATGAGCAAGTTTACTTTGCTGTTGTGTTGTGGGTACAGAAATGGAAATGGGACATTTGATTTTCCCTCCTATCTAAAAAATCTGAAGTAGCACTCTGTTCAGACAAAAATACTTCAAATTTTACTGATTTTTCAAATTTTGTATTTTTAATTAAACTCCTCTCTTCTATAGGCATAATCTGTTGAGTCACTCCAGCAGCACATAACTGATGAATTGTTTCAAACATTGACTATCTTAACTGCTCTTCCTCATTCAAGTCTCTTATTATCTATTTTTTTCTTCTCTTTTTATAGTAATGTAGAGGTATATATTTTTTAAAAAGAGAAAGAAGAAAAAAATCATTAGTGCTCCAATGGGAAGGACTTTAAGTGAAAATTAACAGTTAGTGATCCTAGCCAGGATCAATAGGAAGGAATAAAATGGACTAACTAATATGTAGTCATATCATTTTCGCTGAAAATTCCAGAATCCTGAATTTTGGTTGTGCGTGAACATTCTAGGACAGACCTGGACATTTTATGGCTTGCAGGCCATATTTGGCCCTTGGCTGTCCCTGTCTGGTCCACATTGTAGGTGGGGGAGGCAGCAGTGCCAGGAGACAGGGTGGTGGCCTTTCACAACAGTCCCAATTTCTCATGTAGCCTCTTGGGAAAAATTAATCACCCACCCCTATTTTTGGAGGATCTTGCCAATACAAAAAACCCTTGGTTGGATATTAGAAGTTTATTCAAATGCTAACTGGAATTTCCATTTTTTTTCTAATTCCAGGTAATTGTGCGAAAATAATGCTGTAACATGTCATGTGGGGGAATTCACTGGAGGTAGCAATTATGTTTGGAAGAATTAGTAAACGGTGGTTGGATACTATCAAACATGATACCAGCCATAGCATAGAACAACTCAAAGTAGTAGTGCAAGATTGGAAGATGTGGAGCGACCTCACCCATAGAATCCCGAAGAGTCAGACTTGACTGAATGCATAATATTATCATCATTGCCTTAGCAGATTACAAAAATTAAGAATGTGGTTTATAAGCAACTATAAGTATTAGAACATAAGTTTTCATGGATGGGATTTTGGTTCACTGTATCCATCAGTTGGCAGGTACACATAATTATCAAACATACTTGGAATTTACTGCAGAACAGCAAAAACTGGTGTCTTCCAATACAAAATTGGTCACGTGGCAGTTATTTGTAGATTTGACATAATTAAGCTGGAGTTAATTGGAAACTGGGAATAGTCAATTATAAGGATTGTCCAAAACATTTATATACAGCAATGTATATTTTGCCTCTTTGTAAGAAACATGGAGTTAATGACAGCAGCCCCAAATTGAAAAAGTAACCTTATTTCCTCAATTGCATTCTTATCCGTTAAGACAAACGCCAAAGAGAAACCATTCAAGTTTATACTTTTTTTCTTTTAAGATTGAACACCTTATAGAATGAAAATCCTACCCTTGTTTAATATGATTCAGCCCTGAGAAACCCAATTCCCATTTCAATTTTTCCAGACCATTTTCTTGAATTATTATATTTAGAAATGAAATGATTCAACTTGCTTCCCTGTGCAATTGGCTAGCAATAAAAATAAATAAATCAGATCATATTTTACTTTTGTTTATATTAATCACAGCCACCTCCCTCCCAGATGTTCTAGTTTGTATCCAATAGTTCAATCTTGTAAAAGTGCAACTGCTCTGCCTGTAACATCTTCCCAGTCCGATGTCTATAGAGATAAAGCAGGACGCTCAGATGGTGTCACTACTGGGTAGTCTGAAACCAAAAGAAACGGCATCTCTTGTTACGCATGAAAAGAAATCCTCTCAGTTGTGTTTGGAAGATCTTGCCCTGAAGGTCTGTCACTTTTACATCTCTTAGGAAAAAAATTGCTTTCACTCTGGCAAAGCAGGTTTCTTGTTGGCATTTTTGGCCTGCTTTGCAGTAGAGACCCGGATGTTTCATCATCTTCAGAATGTTTCATTAAAATTGTTTTGTTGGGCCCTTTTGTAGTCAGTAAAGTAGCAAGGCGTGGTCTGCACAAATAAGCAAAACAAAGTAATTTTAAAGGGCAATACCTCAAAATTAGTTGCTAGTTATATAGTTACTACATGTTTCATAACATGCTTCTTGATAATCCAGGCTGCCCAGCACAACAGAGGCCATGCTTTTTTTTTTTTTTTTTTTTTGCAGAATCAGTGAATCAGGATGTAAAACATGGAAGCTGCTTATTGAGAAAAAACACAAAATCTTAATATTAAGAATTATACTTTTTTCTTCCTGACTTGCTGTGACCACATTCTTTATTCAGTGAATTCAGAATGCTTCTTTATATTATTTACAAAATAATTCAATTGAAACTTGCTTCAGTTAAATATTTCTTGATCTGGAATTCTACTGTTTTGTTGAATATTCTGTTTTAATCTATTTCTGCCCATTGTTACATAAACTTGACTTTTTCATTAAAAAAGCAATCACAAAACAATTTTGGATGGAAGCATTAAAAGTCAGGCTGAATACATACTACACTTTACTTACCGGTGTCGGCTCAAGGATTTTAGATGTCGTTCACTCCTCAAATATTTTTCAGTGGGCTGACTGTATTTTCCCTCTGACATCAAAGGAAGGGATAGCAGCAAATCTTGTGTTATAGAAGATCTGTTCAGTATAAGATCTTCTTCACAGTTACCTCCACTAATTCTGTTAGTTTTTGCATTTCTTGAGGGTGACAATTCCTTTACTTTATCTTTGCTTCCAGGTAAAATACTTTTTGGTGGCTCAGGGAAACCTGTGATCAAAAATAAGTAAATCTGAGATAATGTTTCCCAAGATCAGTTTAACACACAATTCAACAATTTAGTGCTAACATGTTTTACATGATTTTTTTCTGTGATATATTAATAAATTTACATTAGCCTATCCTACAGAAGAAAAGCTCCCATCCTGCAGTATCCTTCTTTCAGATCTTGTAGTCATGTGAGTGTATATTTTGTTATACTCAATTAGGAAAAAGTGTATTTCAAGTTGATTGTTGTGTCATAAATCATTATGTTCATTTACGATAATTCAAGCTGATACTTTAAAAAATTCCCAAATTCCCTTCTCAAATGAATAAAAGGATTATGTGCTCTGCAGAGAATATGTGCGTGTCTGAGAGAAAGAGGGAGGGAGGGAAGGAAGGAAGTTTATTTGGCAGTAATATGGAAGCGACATGTCATTGCTGAGGTTTTTTTTCTCTAAACTTCCCAGTTTAGATTTCAGCACAAGCATTTCAGCCAACTATTATTCTGTCCCAGCTTAATTTTTAATTCTTTCAAAGTTTTAGAATATCAGTTCTCATAAAGTTTTTCAATTGTTAACTCTAAATGGGATATCACTCCCCCAGACAGAACTGGTGTGCAATCTATGACCTTAACCTTTCAACAAATCCATTATGTATGCAAGTTTCATCTATTCCTGGAATAAGCTCTGCTTGTAGTAATTTTAAACTGAACAATGGGGACAGTGAGTTAATTGATACAAAACATTCCTGTCCCTGGCAATCTAAAAATTATAGGGTTATCAATGCATGTAACATAGAGGTGTATGTGGATAAGAATATTACCTAGCAGTCAAGCAAAATCAAGCTTTTAATAGGGAGTGCCACACCAAGTGCATTAATCAAACAGGTGGTAAGAAAATAGGGGAACTCAGGCACCACACAGGTTATGTAGAAATAAACATAGGGTCAGTCATAAAGGACTCAATTGTCTATACACTAACACACAGAGTATGAACAATAAACAGGGTGAACTAGAAATTCAGGTAAATGAGGGCAGATATATTGTTGCCATTAGGGAAAATTGGTGGGATGAAACCCACAAATGGAACACACAGCTAGAGGGATTTAAATTATTTAAAAGAAACAGACCAAATAAAAGAGGAGGTGGAATTCTTCTCTATATAAGAAATAACCACATCTCTATAGAAATAGAGCACAACAATGATGAAAACTGTCTCAAATGCATTTGGGTCAATATAAAAGGAGGAAAAATAATATTGCCATAGATGTATACTATAGGCCACCCAACCAAACAGGAAAAAGATGAACATTTTGCTATTCAGCTAACTAAGGTATGTAGAAAGCACATCACAATAGTAATGGGAGATTTTAATTACCCTGACATCAACTGGGAGACAAACTCTGCACCAAGTGAAAGATCAAAGAGATTCCTGACAAACCTAGCAGACAATTTTGTCTGCCAAAAACTAGAGAAGGGAACTAGCCATATTGGACCTAATTCTCACTAACAGAGATGAAATGATGGAAGTCTTAGTGGACAATCACTTAAATATGAGCCAGTAGTGTGCTGCAGCTACCAAAAAGGCCAACACAGTGCTGGGCTGCATTAACAGAGGGATAGAATCAAGATCACGTGAAGTATTAATACTTTACAATGCCTTGGTAAGGCCACACTTGGAATACTGCATCCAGTTTTGGTCACCACGATGTAAGAAAGATGTTGAGACTCTAGAAAGAGTACAGAGAAGAGCAACAAGGATGATTAGGGGACTGAAGGCAAGACAAGAAGCAACGGATGGAAACTAACCAAAGAGAGAAGCAACCTAGAACTAAGGAGAAATTTCCTGACAGTTAGAACAATCAGCTGGAACAACCTGCCTCCAGAAGCTGTGAATGCTCCAACACTGGAAGTTTTAAAGAAGAGACTAGACAGCCATTTGTCTAAAATGGTATAGAGTTTCCTACCTGAGCAGGGTTTGGATCAGATGACCTCCAAGGTCCCTTCCAACTTTATTATTATTATTAATATTAATTCATGCCTTAGTCATTTCCCATTTGGATTTCTTCAACATACTCTGCATAGAGGTGCCCTTGAAATGTATTTGGAAGTTTCAAATGGTCCAGAGTGTAGCAATGGCCAGTACTGGATGCATTAGGTTCGCCACTGTGACACAGCTGTTGCATGACCCACACTGGCTTCCAGGTGCAATTAAGGTGCTGGTTATACCTTTAAAGGCCTATAGGGCCTTAATTGAGGGTCACCTGTATCCAGTAGTTTTTGTTCATCCACTGCATCCAATAATGCTGTGTGTTTCAGGCTCCCTATCTGAAACTATATTCTGGAACCCAAGATAGGAGACATGTCTTCTCTGTAATAACACCTGTGCTATGGAACATCCCCCTCTCCCTGAGATCCATATGGCCCCAATCTTCCAGAAGGCTGTGAAATCCTAGTTTTTCCTTCAGGCATTAAGGCCAGACTGCTAATGGATCCTGATAGACATGTTTTGGGAACTGAGTATGATGCCTCAACTCTCATAATCTATTATGATTGCTTTTAATTGTATTTTTTGTTCTGTTGTTATATTGTTTCTTATATTCTTGCTACCAGCCCAGTTATTTAAGTTGGATAGGAAGGAAGGAAGGAGGGAAGGAGGGAAGGAAGGCTGTACAGTCCACAAATTCAGCTTGTTTAGTTTCATAATTTAATAAACCACATAGCAGAATTCCACAATGAGTAAAAATCTCTGTAGGAGAGCTGCAGATTACTAGTACTTCTTTGGATATTTTCCCCCCAAAATTTTTCATGTACAACTGAAAGAATAGGTGACATAAAATAATAATAAATTAATAACTAAAAATGGGATTCTAAAATCTCAACTCATCTATATATTTAAGTCTTAGAAACTGACTTCCATTGTCATCTATTTTCACACATCTATTCCACAAACAGATTTGTGAGGAACTATAAGAACTGGATGTACTACCATAGACGCCATTCACTCATCATCAAAAGCATATTTCAAAGTCTTACAATGTGAATTATTAAAAATAAATTTAAGTCATATTGTTAAATTTAATTGATACTCTGTATCAGTCTTTTCAGGCATAGATATACATGTCTATGTCTATGTATGTGAGGCTAATTCATTCTCCATGAACTCTTTTGAGCAGTACTGGAAGTACATTCCATAAAGTAGCTTAGGAAATTATATTTTATTAAACGTTCTTCAGATTCTAAATATTGGCTTTTCCCACCCAGAATACAAATTTATAGTTCAAATATTATTTCCAGTTATTCCTCTCCACTGAGAAGGAGTAAATGAGAAAGAGAAAATACAATCTGAATAAACGTTTTATTTTTGTATCATATAGTAACCCATTCAACCCTACAATTTGCTCTATCTCTCTGATTTTGACAGCTTGATGGGCAGGTTAAAAATGGCTGATCCTGGGCATGTGTGTTTTACTGTTGTACTACTTTTGTTATTATTGACTCTGTAATTGATTAACTTAACTGAATATTCTCCATCAATCAAGAAAAAATCTTCAGATTAACGTTAATCTTCCTTTTCCTAAGAAAGATAATGAATTGACTTAAACATTTTATGTATCAAGTTGTTCATCGAGACTTGGAAGACTTTAAGGTCCAGCCTTTGATAATATACAAGTAAACCAGCCAATGTATTTTAGAAATTTTGATGAGATATAAACCCATTGTAATTGATAAAGTTTTAATTTCCAATATGAGAAAAACCTTTGATCTCTGGAGATGCCTTTTCTCTGCAACTATTGGTTTTTCCAGTTTGATACTTTTCTAATCTCCAGGTTGCAACTTTTTTATATGGAGCGTTTAAATGGATTTCTTGAGCTAGAGCAATATTTTGTAGTTCTTTTTCTTCTAACTGTAGTGTGACACAGTCCCTTCCAGGATGATTTTCTGCTACTGGCTGAGACAGATATAAAGAGCTGAAACAGATTAAGATTAACCATCTCAAAACTCAGAATAAAATAACATGCAAAATGATCCAATTCTTAAAAATTATACAAAAAGGATACACTTCAAAAATGTTGTGTCTTCTGAAATATACAGTCAACTCATTTTGTGAAATAGTACTTATATTTACATTTATGCCAGGCATGTCAAACTCGCGACGTCATGTGACGTCGTGCGACGTATCAGAACTTTTTCTCCATTGCTGGCAATGGGGTGGGCGCGGTTTTGGGATGACGCGTCCGGCCCATGGGCTGGCAGTTTGACACCCCTGCAAATTATATTTGGATATGAAACATGTGACTTGTTGTTATGCTTCTTCTTTAAAATAAAGTAAAATAATTGTTCTGCTGGCAAATATTTCTTTTCCTTTTTATAAGCAGATTTTCCATATTTCACTTTAAATAACTGGGTTTTTAAAGTTTGATAAAAACTAAAATGACTTTATAGCATTCAGTATTTTTCAGGTTAGAAAACTTATTATCTTGGCAGAATCATAAAACTGATGATTAAAAAGCTTAATAAATAAAAACCTAGTCATTACCGCTTGGGCTACAATCCCTTTAAAATGTGAAATTATGAATTATCTACTGGTTATATCTGCACTAATTAAATATCATTTCTAAAATAAGAAGTGTTCTTCTCTCTCTTTACATTGTATGTAAATGTCATGGCAAGTTTTATCCCAGAAGGGAACACTCCAAACTTCAATATGAAAGACAAGAAAGTCTTTTAGAATGATGTTTTACTTTTTGCAGATTTTCTTTAATAATTATTTCTAATATAAATTATATGGAATTTATTGCTCAGTTAATTAGAGTGAACTATTTGATTAAAATAGATCCACTAAGTAGTACTTGCACCCAAACTTGCAATGTAAAATTTATTGTAAGAGAGAATGATAGAAATATTAATTAAAATAAAGACTACAGATAATAGTTTTATAAAGCACATGTGCAGTCTTATATTTGACTGATCCATATTAAAGTAAATTATATTCTATAAGATTTTTCTCAAGGTTTAATATGAGGGTTCCAGAAATCACTAATAACAAATATATAGTTTTCCTACCTTGGGTGACTGTCCAGTTGTATGAATGATGCTACAAATAAGAGATAAAAAGACAATATACAGTATAATTGAAAATAAACATCCTTATTTATTACATAATTTCAGTCCTTTTCTTATGTTAAAATCATTATTCTCTTCCCTGGTAGAGAACCACATTAATATTTTTGATTACTGATGTATTTGTACAAGGGAATAATTCTGCTTATGTTCATTCTCATCCCCCCTTGTTTTAAATATTTTCAAGATACTATAAATCAAGTTTTAGCCTCTTATCATTAAAAAAACAATTTGATTTATTAATGATTTACAATGAGACAAAATTGGACTTATTAATGACTTACAATGAGACAAAATAGTTCCTTCCAACTCTATGATTATATAAAAATATAGAATTTATGAAAAAAAATGGCTCACAAAAATTGTGAAAATCAAAATTATTGTGATATTTTGGATTATTGTTGAAGAACTCAAGCAATTAAGCACATATGCTTTGTATTTGAGGTTAACTAGTCTGGAATGATATAATATGTAATATTCAAAAAGTGATCTGTTATTTCTGTATGGTGTATGTTCTGGCCCATATAGCTCTATGGTCCAGCTCTAGGTTGGAATGTCTGGCAGTTATTGGGTTAAATGCTAGGTATGTGGATGGGTCAGTGGGAGGAGTTCCAAAGGTCTTTGGGAGACTTCCTGGACACAAGCCACATGGGAATCTCTTTGTCTGTAAGAAGCATGGGCCATGGAAGGTCTCCCTATAAGATGGTATAAAGAGCAAAATCTTCTTACCTAAGGAAAGGATCTGAAAGATGAACAAACATGTATTCCCAGCAGCACCAATCTCAACGTGAACGCAAGTAATCTTTCTCATTAAAATATATTTGTTTGTTATAAGATCGTTTCTTTTGAGTTAACTATCTGACTGGATTTGAAATATAACACTTTTGAATTTGGGTCAGTATAGTAAGAAGATTTTTTCATAATTTGTGCCATCTTTTGAAAGCAAATAGTAAATTGGCAAAGATTAATTCTCCTCTCAAAGCTGCAACAGTTTGAAGAAAGAGAATCAAATTGGTTAGCCTTTTCTCTGTATAAACCTTCAAGCAAGTAAAGATTCTCTTGATGCTTGTAAGAGCCTGCAAAGCAAAGCCAGCGTGTCTGTGTAAAAGACAGCTTTCAAGGAGTGATTCAGAGGTTTTGTTATGCTAATTCGCTTGCTAGCTAACCTTCAAAGTAAAAAGTACCTTGGACCTGTTCTCAAATTAATGTTTATAGCGGAGAGAAAGAAAAACAAAAATCTACACTTTTGTTCCTTGCTTGAAAAGTTTGAATTTTAACACCAAAAGGAGCTTGGGCTTTTCCCCCTCCCCTCTTTGCCAGTGAATCATGCAGCCTGAAACAAAGAACTGTTTAATGACTGCCTCTAAAGTTCAAACAAAAGCAAGGTTTATTGCCTTTCAATAAACTCATCTGTTGCCATAGTGACAGCCCTAGGTATGCTCGGAATTTCAGCCAATGTTATAAGGAGGAATCATCGCAGAAGCAACCCCTGGTGGTCATGCAATTTTTTTTTCTAGCTGAGCCACAACAGCCACAATTAATTCAGCACACAACAGAGCAAATCTGTTAGTTAAAGTGCAAGCTACTTAAAGTTATCCCAAGCTACCAACACCCCCCAGAGGGCACAGAGTGATCTTATCGGAAGCATTCACTCACTTACCCAAGCTGAGCACTAAGCTGTTCCAGCTTGAGAAATCAAAGCCAAGTCTCTTCGCTCATTATCACAGCTGACCAGGTGGGAGTTTGTACCTCTACATTCTCTCAGTGGCTCACTAGCAGTAACGTGGTAATAGGAAGAATTTGGCTAGCCTTTTCAACACCCCCTAGAGGGCACAGAGTGAACTTACCAAAAGTACTCACTCACTCACTCAAGCTGAAGGCTAAGCTGTTCCAGCTTGAGAGACAGGAAGCAAGAGCCAATTGCCTTCGCTTATTATCACAGCTGATGACCCGGAGTTCCAGCCTGCAAATGACCAGGTGGGAGTTTGTACCTCTACATTCTCTCAGTGGCTCACTAGCAGTAACGTGGTAATAGGAAGAATTTGGCTAGCCTTTCTCCAGACGCCCCCTAGTGGTTAAAGGAAGCTCTACATGCAAGCCTTTAACCGCACCCAGAGAAGCCCCTCTAGTGGACAAAGGGTGAACCTCGAAGCCAGAGCACCCTGGTAGCTGACCCACAGCAAGTGACCCCTAGTGGTGAAGGGGTGAACTGCACTGAAGTACCCACAAACACAGGAGAACGCACCCAGTGGCATCTCCACCCACAGACAGCACCTCAGAAGCTGATCTACAAGTAGCGACCCCTAGTGGTCAAAGAGAGAAGTTCTTCAAATTCTCTTCAAAATAGCTGAGAAGGACACTGAACCTATCCTAGCCATAGCTGAGCATCCTACTGGTCTAGCAGAAGGGGTTCAACCTATCAGCCTAGTTGAGATACATCAACCAGCCCACAGACGCCATGCATTCACATCTGATGGAGAAATGGCACATCATCCACAGACGCCATGAACGAAGCTGGGAGAGATTATACAAACTCTACCATGAACAGAAGGAGGAACTCTCCCCAGAACGGGCACACGCAGTGGAAGGAGATAAGGAAGACGCCTATGTGCAATGGATGGATTCTGAACAGCAACTAAAGGATATTCAGGAACAATTAAGAGACTCAAGAATCGATAGCAAGATGCACAACCTCAAAGTACTAAACAAGGAACGCAAGAAGTTTCTAGAGAGCTCACAGGGTTCCCCACAGCCCAAGCCTCGCCAGAAAAGCAGACTGGTCGACAGGGCCGAGTCCAATGTCTCCCGCTACTCATATGCACCATCCCAATGGTCGCACGCATATCCATCCCACGTGTCTGAAACAGCCTCATCTTTTCGCCACATATCCAAGACACATTCCAGCATGTCCCAACAACCGCACGTCACAGGACCCTCACGCCATTCAAAGGCATCTTCTCGCCAGAGCCATACATCTCAAGCCTCAGGAGCAGAGAGCATCGCCGCCCGTCTCAGGGAAGCACGGATCAATACCGCAATGGCTAACGTTGCTGCACAAGTAGCAGTAGACGACAAGCTACATAGAGAAGACTTGGCCAAAGCTCAGGCCAACTTTGAGATTTTCCAGCGACAACAGAGAGCAAAAGAGGCAGCCGCAATAGAAGCGATCCTGCAGAGAGAGTTAGAAGATGCCATGTCAACGCCCAATTTGGAAAGTCTAGGAAGGGAAAGTTCTCACAGCCATGTACAGGCCTACGTGGACAACCAAAGCACACTCCAGAATGCACAGATGAGAGCACCTCAGCCAGCCACAAGCCCCCCAAGACCGAGTAGACAAACAGAGGAATCTCAACGACCTGATTCGCTGGTCAACCACAGAGTTGATGACACGACACCTAGGTCACGAGATCCTCCTGCCGTTGCTGCCACATCGAACCTGATGGCAACAACTGCACAGCGGGGAGTGCCACAAGATCTTTCCACCATTATTACCCCATTGAACCCCATAAAACCACACCTACAATACTGCATGCTTGTGACAACCAAACCTGTTTTGGTAGCAACAGTGTTCCAACCGTGCCTAGAACAACACTGCACGCTTGTGACAACCAAACTTGTTTTGGTAGCAACAGTGTTTCAACCGCGCCTAGAACAACACTGCATGCTTGTGACAACCAAACCTGTTTTGGTAGCAACAGTGTTCCAACCGCGCCTAGAACAACACTGCACGCTTGTAACAACCAAACCTGTTTTGGAAGCAACCGTGTTCCAGACAAGCAAGACTTACTACAATTTAGCTTTGTCCATAAAGGACAAACAAGACAAACAGCGCCCCCAAGACTGGGAGTCATGGAGCATACTCCCAAAATGTCTCCAAAGCATGCAAGTGCAGCGCATGTATGTCTCCAGCTCACCTGCCCCAGTGCAGAAGAAAGAGTTGTACGCTTCCTTAGATGTGCCTACGAAGGTGCCTGCAGCCTTAAGATACGTCTCACTCTACAGCGGGGAGAGCCACACTTACGTTATCTTGTTTGCAACAATAAGATGCATCAGAGTCTACAGCGGGGAGTGCTGCAGTCTTGGTGTCTTCTTTGGAAAAGCAAGACTAACAATGCAACAAGGCCACACCGTACCAAGGGTACAGCTATATGGCATCACTTTGGCTGTAAAGCTGACCAACTTGACAGCAAAGACGTTGTGCCTTGAACTACAGTCCACCACCTTCTACGCAGACAGCAAGGTGATGTCAAGCTACATCTGCAAACAAAGTGGACACTTCTACGTCCATGTAAACAACAGAGAGAAAAGGATTGAAACATCCTTAAGCCCTGAACAATGGCAACATGTGCCAACAAATAAGAACTTTGTTAACCAAGTAAAGTGGCCCAACCTTGCCACACAGATAACAGAACTGATCTGGTTAGAAAGTCTTCAGCTCTTGGCCTGTCCAAATAGACAGATGCCACATAGACCAAAACGTTATGCACTTCCAGCTTCAGATCAAAGTGCCAACCTTCAACCTCAGACACCCGGTAAACGTCAACCAATCCGCTTCAAAACCCTGTCTAAGCGCAGACAACTGAAGTTAGGCATAGTTTTGATCGTCTTGATCACTTGTCTCAGCACCCCAAGAATTAGCCTTGTAGAAGCCTGCAAGGACTTACTGCCTTTCATGGACTCCATGTCATTAAATACACTGACACCCACACATGAAGTCCTCACCCTGACAACAACAGTAGCAGTCCTCTTCAGTACTCCACCGGTGGCTCCAGACCCTTCGGTTCTTGAGTATCCTGAGTCTTCTGCTCAAGCTGTTGTTCCTGATTCTTCACTTCCAGCTGCTGTTCCTGACCCTTCAGTCCCAGCTGTTGTTCCTGATTCTTCAGCTCCGGCTGTTCCTGAGTTTCCAGATGTTCCTGATCCTGAGTTTCCAGCTGTTCCTGAGTTTCCTGATGTTCCTGATCTTGATTCTTCAGCCCCAGCTGTTCCTGAGTTTCCAGATCCAGCTGTTTATGTCTTTCCAGGTTTTTCAGTTCCTAAGTATCCTGTGAATCCAGTTCCCCTCATTCCCGAGAAGCTTGGGTTCCAGTTTTTTCTGTTCCAGATTTGGTTCCAGTTTCCTTCACAGCAAGAAGACCTTGTCTCATTGGGAGACAAGGCTGCATACCAGAACTATTGGCCCACGGTTCCTGCGCACCGGGCCCACCCACTTGATGAACTAGTTTACCCAGCTGAGATCCAGATCATGAAGCCACGTGAGTCAGGTCGTGACTCAAAGACACTGGTCCATCGTCGATGAAGACTGAACCAGAAGATTAAACCTCAAATTATGTATTGTCTTATGCATTGTTTGATGTAACACTTGCCTTTTTCATAATTGTGCATGTTTTATGTTTACCTTATAGTTATGCATGTTTGATACCAAGTTTTTACCTAGTTAGTCACAAGTTAACCACAATGAGTATTGCATGCCTTGATGCTACGTTTTTACTATTTTAATAGTGGAAATATAAATTTCCAAGCGGGGAGTGTTCTGGCCCATATAGCTCTATGGTCCAGCTCTAGGTTGGAATGTCTGGCAGTTATTGGGTTAAATGCTAGGTATGTGGATGGGTCAGTGGGAGGAGTTCCAAAGGTCTTTGGGAGACTTCCTGGACACAAGCCACATGGGAATCTCTTTGTCTGTAAGAAGCATGGGCCATGGAAGGTCTCCCTATAAGATGGTATAAAGAGCAAAATCTTCTTACCTAAGGAAAGGATCTGAAAGATGAACAAACATGTATTCCCAGCAGCACCAATCTCAACGTGAACGCAAGTAATCTTTCTCATTAAAATATATTTGTTTGTTATAAGATCGTTTCTTTTGAGTTAACTATCTGACTGGATTTGAAATATAACACTTTTGAATTTGGGTCAGTATAGTGTAACTTCGTTTTTTATTTATATTATAAAATGGATATTAACAACTGGCAATGGTTTAGCTGTTAAGCCTCATACTTGAGGAAATAAGATGAAAATTCCAAACCCTACTTAGCCATTAAGCTCTACACTGGGGCTTGGGCAAGTTGGGCAAGTTGTAACTTAGCACACTTTACTGGATAGTTGTCTGGATAAAAATGAGAAAATTCCTAAGCACCTCTATGATGTTTGATGGTTTCTAATATCTACAAAAAATGTTACATTATCTTAATCTGTATGACACTCATGCACTGATTTTGACTAAAATGACTTAGTCTTTCCCAGTCTTTTGGTTGTCCGGAGAACCAGTAGCCTAAGGGTTTTGAAGGGTGTCAAGTAACAGAAGGCTTCTATAACTGGCTGTAATTGCGATCAGATTTGTCTATGAAAGGAAATCACCGTATAATATTTGCTATACCTGCATGGTTGATCACTTCTAACTATGTATTGCCCCCCCTTCCCCTTCTCATAATATTGTGCTACAATACTTAACTTTTTCGATGGATGCTTACTTCCCTCTTCATATTTTCCACTCTAGGAAGTCGGCAATCCAGAAGTGCACTATTTCTTCTTGGTGTATTGCACATTTGGTTATGGGAAGTAGGAGGTAGGAAAAGTCTCTGGGAAACAGCGTGCTTAAAAGGCTGGGCTAGATCCCATCCAAAATCTGTTTATATAAAAGACCAAGCCCAGACATAGTACTACAATATAATCTTGACATGATAAAAATTGAGAGTATCAAATATAGTTAAGGAATGTGTCTAGCTCTTAAGTGCCTAGATTTACTCTCTCATATATATAATCTTATTAACTACAAAATGCTGAATGTGTGCACATTTATGTACAATTAAGTGAACTGACAAATGTCACTACCAGTAAGCTTGAAAATTAATATAAATGCAAAATCACTTTAATGAATTTAATTTGTAAAACACTACTACTATAATTCTATTTTGTTTTTTCTCGCATACTCATAAAAGCTGGAAGCATAATTATTTTATCAAGAATCTCAGATGTCTTAAAATCCTAAGGATCTTCAAAATTGCAAACAGAATTATGTCAAAAGTCAACTTGATTTTGTTAAGTCTGTTCTGGGTCCATAAAAATGGTACCAAACACTTAACACTTTTCACTTCTTTCACACCACATTCCACTTCTGCCCTCAGTCAAGAGAATTTTTTCCCAAAATATTGCTAAGGACATTTTTAGCTCTCAGCATTTTAGGGATTAAATTTCATTAGGGCATTTTATGTAAGTTTATGTTCTGTAACAGTATTTATTCCTGAGTAATTTTTCTGTAGTATTTAACTTGTCACATTGGACTCTAATTCTTAATTTGCCTATGGAAATTAAGAATCATAGTCCACTTCCACTGTAATAAAATGCAAAATTAAAATAATTTATTCTTGCAAACTGTGACTAATCCTAAGAACAAGCACTGTTGAAACAGCTTGACTACAAATATGTATTTCATAGTCATAATTTCACTATATTGTACTGCCTGTAAATATACTGTTTATACATGCATGTCTATCTTAATCATATTTATAAATGAATTACTCACTTAATCCTTGCTCAGGGAAATAATGACTCAGATACTGAATAGTATATTTACTTGGCACATTAGGTACAGCATCTGAGAAAAAGAAATTAAAGACATGAAAGACGATACAATAATGGATTTGTTGTGGCCATAGACATGATAATAAAAAATGACATCCTATATCTTGTACTTGTATCCCAATAATGGAGGAAAAATGTGATTCACAAAGTTTATGTTCGGATGTCATTACACACTTTTATTCCTTTCCTCATCATCACAGAAGCCTATGGCTGTTGCTTTTATCTGTATTGATAAAACATAGATAAATGAACAAAATGAGGCACCTTGTTAACTGGCAAATGCTTATATAATAGGGTACATGACAGAGACCAATGGATGTATCCTTTATTGTATTATAATGTTTATGTTGCTGTGTTGTTTATGGGCAACAAAACAGTAAGTATCCTCAATGTCTCCCAGCTTACATTCGTGAAACATAACTTCATGCATCTGAATTATACTATAGTTTATTAAGATTTACTGTATATGATAAGACATTTATTATTTGTTAATTTTTAAGGTACCACAAAATTTGGTAACTGCCCAGAGTTGGGCTCCACACAAATTTAACAGATGATGATGATGATTAACATAAAATATAAATCCTCCAGATAAATTTGTTTAAAAGTATGTGCATTTTCCTTTGCTTTCCAAGAGGTAAAGAGAGATACTGGGATAATTCTTATATAGCTTCACACAATTAATATTAATTAGTATACCCTAAGAAAAAAAGGCTTATTTCGATAAATAAATGAACACAAGCAACAGGTTTATGTGTTTGCTTTCTATCTTTGCATTGCTCCTTCCCATTCCTCCTCATTATTTAATATACGAGGGAGCTCTCAAAGTATACTGTATATTTGTATACAGTACTGTACTATAATATAATAATACTGTGTTGTAACATAATACTATAATATGTTACATTCATACCACAGTGTGTACACCAGGACACTATGTTTACCAGATCTTGAATAATCCAGAATCTTAAATTACAGTTTGAAGGTCTTGTAATAATAATTTCAATATTTGAATGCAATGACAATCAACATTTAACAAAATATTTTGAGTGTTAGTCATGATATAGTGAGAAGAGGAAAATAAGGATGTGGCAGTTTTATATGTATTCATATTTACAATTATTCAATTAAGATATAATAATCTAAGCTGGGTCACTGATTAGCCTAAGACATATGATTGATTTTGTGACTTAACAGAACTTTAGATTCAAAGTTTCAATTCTAACTCTCTCTCTAAAATGCATACACCTTGGTAAAATATCTATGGGACTGGAAATACCCCTAATCTAATTTTTAAAACATTTTCTTGTAGTATATTTTTCTGAAGAAAGAGTCTATTTTATTAAATGTATAAAAAGTTCAAGAAAGTGGTAGATGCATACATACACACACTAAAGGTAACTAAAGAATAAACAAATTTACAGACCTCAAGATATGCTCATCTAGTGTTTTGTAGAACTGGAATGTATCCAGAATGTCTAGCATAGCTATATGCACCATGAGTTTATCAGGAAATTATATGGCAGGTTGGAAGAATTATGTATTTTTTTACATAAAGTTTCCACACTTAATTTCCTATTAAAATACAGAATTGGTAATACAGAAAATGTCCAGTAGATATACTAAGTGAACAATATAAAATATAAGAAGTATGAAAAGAACATTTTAAAATCTTTGTTCAGAATCTGGAAGAAACGATTTAATCAGAGAATAAATTCCAGTTCTTCTGTAATCCTTGCCTGTAATTATGTTGGATGGAAATTTAAAGTGAGAGTCAAATGTCCAAAGAGAACATACTATTTTTTTTAAATTATCCAATGCATATACTCTATAGTGTTAGAGCACATGGTGAATTTACAGATATCATGTCACCAAAACACAATTTCCTCCTTCCTCTCATGATAGCATTAAATCTGCAAACAAGATAGGACTCTAAAAAGGTTTTAAAAATCATATTTTAAAACTGGCATTTAACAATTCCTGATTGTGTATTTTGAATTTTTAATGTTGTAATGTTTAATGTCTTAAAATGACTAAAATGTTACTTTATTACAGTATAGGTATTATTTTTAATATTCTTGATTTATACTCATTCATTCAAATTAAGTTGTAACTACCAGCGTAACCCTCTCCCTCAAACCATAATTATTTTAGGTACCGTATGCATTTTATTTTATTCATCACACTTCTACTCTAGAGTCACATAAGTGACTCTAATCTAATCTTTAATACATTTTAAGGGCAATGTTGGTCACTAATGCATGTATTTGCTATTTCATAGCTAAAATAGACCATGGAGTTATAAGGACATTATATACAGGATTGGGAAGATTCAATAAAATCTAGAACATACCCTATTTATAGTGCATCATGTAACTATCAAAATGTACAAGCTGATAAAAATATTCTTACCTTTTTTAGAGGGGAAAGCCATTTGATCTGCTTTACTTTTTAAAATGGAACTAGTTTCTTTAAACAATTCATGAACCCCTGCTAAAGTCTTTGACTATTAGAGAAAACAGAGACAAATGCATGATTACTATTCTTCCACATTTCTGAACTCCCTCATTTCTTTCTTCATATGTAAAGACTAATTAAAATATGTGATAAATTCCTTTATGGCACAGACTATAAGTAGTCTGGGTATGCTAAATATGGCTGCATCTTTCCTCATTATGTTTGACCATAATTCCAATGAATTATGTAGGTACAAATTATAGATGTAGTCTAAATTGAGATATGAGAGAAACTGAAGACTAATGCATTTGAAGGTTACCAGGTTGAGGAAGACTGGTTGAAAGAATGGAATGCTTATAGATGAAATATTCTTTCTGCGCATAAAGTCAACATTTTAAAGCATAATCACATCTATTTTATTTTTAATCAGACATAACTGAGTTAATCCACAAAATTATAAAAAGTAACCATGTACCATGCTCTTTTGGAATGAACAACATTGATCAAAGAACAGAAAAGGAGTAGGAAATATTAAGGTAAGTGAACAGAAGGCATGAGCAAGGGGGGAAAAAGCCAAATCTAATTTATACCAACAGTATACACTACCTGTAAGTCTAGTTTACAGCAATGCCCCTAGACCTCTCTATTTTTGCAAAGTCCTCAATAAAGTCACTCTTCTTGATATATTTGTTTTGCAATTTGATAGTCATACATGGTTGCTATATGATCAAATCACATGAACACACTTTTTGCACATCGGTCATTTTTGTATTCGATCCATAGTAATTCACTTAGCTCCCACTAAGTTCTTTCTTGAACTCATCTCTTCTTGTTTTACCATACCTACGTGTTAAATACTCCATTTCCAATCCATTCAATTTATTTTTCTTCCCGGTATAACCAACCTTCATTTTGTATAACAAAATAGGCAGAAGGATATTCTTAAACATAAAAATATGACCTTATTTTGCAATATTGTTGACAACATTACTTACAATACAACACACAAATGTCTGTATGCTTTCCTTTCTTTCCTTGCAATAGCCTGAATATTATTGTAGTGGTGTCTTTTGCCAATGTTTGCACATCTTTACAGTTCTTCACTTATTTCCCCAACTTTAATAAACATTCTATAGGGGCACCTATTAGTGAAATTCTATAATGTCACATATATTCATTATTATCGCTCTGCTTTTTCACTATGTATAACTTGCAATTGCTGTCAAATACACTAATTTGATACATTAATTTTCAGAACCATATAATCAATTTAATATTCACTGCAATTCATTCAGACTGTTAACCATCATACACATGCATATACATTCATATCCACAACCAATTCCATTTAAGTCACCATAAGCGTTCCTTGTATGGTTATCCCAAGCTTTCAGCATTCCCAAGCTTACTAATGTGACCCCCTATAGTTTTTGCATTTATTCTTGCTATTTTTATCTTTATAGAGGGGAACAATAATAGCACTATTCCAATTAAAAGAAACAATGCAACATTCACATATACTTTAAACAATTCCTATAACAACTTCATTTATGATGATGTCAGGAATGGGAAAAGCAAGAAATGGGAAATGCAGAATGAATCCACAATAGAACATAATTCTATTTCAGTAATTTAAATATATATATATTTAAGCATCAGCAATAACTTAAATGATGCACTGCATAAATATGAAGTTTGCAAATGGCAACTATACAGAAATAAGATTTAAAAGTATATACAAAAAAGAAGTCAGCATTCTCTTATTTATGTTGCAAAATTTATTCTACTAAGATGACAGCCAAACCTTTTTTGCATTTGTTGTTCTGGAAAAAGTCTCTACATTCTGCTTGTTAATTTCATACTTTTCTCTTTCCATGTTTTGTAATTCCATCAGTTTTAATTTCTGAAAAACCTGGGCCTGTGGAGAAAGATAAATGGGCAACATTTATATTTTACTTAATATATAAAACTAAACACATAACCTGAACCTTATATATTTTACTTAATATATAAAACTAAACACATAATCAGAAATAAAAACTTAAGGTAAAAAAATTACTTCACATGTGATAGATTAAATTCAACTGTAAATGCTTATACCACTCTTTACCAATATGGATGTAATAATATGTTCAATGCCTCAAATAGATTCCCTTCTGGACACCTGGATATTCTTCTCTTATAATTTGTTTTAAAAAATGCCTTTTTGCCATTTCACCTAGAGGTTGTAGTCAAGAGGCTGAGAATCCTGCCTTAGAAATCTGGGAAATAAAATGAGTTCTGAAAATGAAAACAATCCAGTTGTTGAAATTTCTGTAACATAATCTCTTTTCCATTTCAATAAATCTGATTAAAGAGACTTCTGTGAGAATCTTGCTTTTGGGGTAATTGACTGTCAAGGCTTAAAACTGATGTCTCCAGAAATGTAGACTACTGTACAAAATCTATAATTTGTACCTACATGCCATGCTTGTTAGGAATTACGAAGTTATAATCAAACACAGCTGGGAAGCACCCACTGGGGAAGGCTAGTTTATGATAAGCTTATTCAGTTCTAATTGTGTGTCTTGATAAGTGTATCATTCCACTACATTGGAAGTGGCATCAAACAAGTTCAAGTAGATAAAAGCACTGTAATTTTGATATGGAAAAAGATGAACATCTACATCTTCAATGGTAACATTCTGTAATGTCCTTAGGTGAAGTGAAGAATCTGTATTTTATAATTATAAAAAATATTATTTATAGCAACATTTATACATAGCATTTCCCCTAACAGTAAGTAATTATTCAGAAATCATTCATTTCTGTATTAGTGACTTGTAGAAACGTCATAGAATTACTCAGGTAGTTTTCAAATTATATCAAGGTTACCTCATTATGGTCATGCTGTCATATTGGCACAATGATGGTTGGATAAATTACCAGTTATATTTCTCATTGGTCTAACTATTGAAGGACAGTTGAAAACATTTCAGAAAAAAATTAATGAAAATAAGAAGTTTTCATCTGATGCTATTTACATGGATAGATATGTTCAGCAAAATAAAATAAACAAATGTAACTGGCTAGAATGACTTATTGCAAACATAAGGTTTGCTATAAGTCAATTATTCATTATTTTTTTGTAGATTCATGGTACCAGATCTCTGAGCTTTACATTATAATGATACAATAAAATATTTACATTTTTAATTATTTGTTCTTGGGTCTTGGAAACTTTGCGAGAAGGGTCTTCATGTTTTTTGGATTCATTCTAAATAAGAAAAAAAAACTAATCACTACAAGGAACATCACTCAAGATATTATACAACTGTTTCCAGATTTTCAAGAGTCTATGTTTCTTTTTTACTTCTATTTCCATAGAACAAAACATCTGGGATACAATCTTTCTGAATTACTGTATATCCCATAATAGGAAAATATTTTCTTTAAATTTGTAAGTATGTTTGTTTGTTTGAATAACATAAATTGCCCCTGATTAAGACCTCTCCTGATCTTATGATGGAGAAAATTCTGTAGGCGAAATAAAAAAACTATAGTCCCAACAACAGCACTAATATATTTTTATGAAATGGTTCATTTACTGGGCTAGTATATAGTCTGAACTAATCTTACAGATTTTTCTAAACTGCAGCACATATTGTTTATTCTTCCAATTTCTTTCCATTTTTAAATATAATATAGAAATACAAATATCTATATTATGTAGGAAGAAAAATTAAAAAATATTGGAAGACTAAGAAAACCATGGTTGAATTGAGGAGATCTGACAAAAGAGGGAGGTGAGAAATTTAAAGAATAAATTTATGAAAAAGAAAAAAGTGGAAACAATAGCTGGTGGAAGATATGGAAAGTTATAATGATGTTCTACGCTTTTGTTTTATTTTTTCTTATTTCAAGACTTTTTTTGCCTTATTATTTCTTACTTCTTTTCCACATAACACTTCTATCCCAAAAGGGAATAGCATAACTAGTGTGTTATGAACATCTGTAAGAATCAACAAGCTATAGTGAGTAGCTACTATACAACAATTATAATCTACCACTGGTTCATGTAAATGTTTCGAATATCTTCTTCCAGAGGATTCCAAAACAAAACTTCTTTCCTTCTTTACTTTCAAATATTTTTTCTTTGATTTTGTCTGCCAAGAAAGAGAGAGAAAATCAAATTAATTAAATTTAATAGGATTAAAGATAAAGATAGTAGAATATTTACTTAAGTCTATTTTAATTATTCAACTAAATCATCTCTCACTATCTCCAAAATATTTAAAGGCAAGTACAAATGATATAAGAAATATGACACATCTCTGTCATCTCCCACAATTTCCAAATTGTTACAATTGTTTTGATATGCCCAGGTAAGTTTTTCAATGCTCTTATATCCATCCATAGCTGAAGCAACCCAGTGTAATGTTTTCCCTCTTTTCCCAACCCATTTTTCAGAGATGACTGATATGACCAATAATTCGAATCTGCTCAGTTTCTAATGGCTGTTTTAGATATGCCTCCTTTTGCTTTGGTTACTGGCACTTGCCTCCGTGGCTATTTTGGTTTTGCTTCTAGAAGAAATTGGATATCTGATTACTGCAGTGTCATCTCCTTGCAAATGACTGACATTATGCTTTCTAATGATTCAAATGTACTTTTAAAAAAGCATTAGCACAGGTTGATTTAAGGTAAGAAAAGGAGCCAGGATCTGCTAATTTCTGTATTGCTGCTTCTGTCATCCATAACTACTTTTATAGGTTTTCCGTTGCTTTTGCTAACATGGTGGATCACCAAACTTTTCTGATTTTATTACTACAATTGGGAGAGATGCTGTTTTGCCTACTTCATCAGCCCTCTCTGTGTGCTGCCAGTCACTTGTGGTGAGACATGCTCTTTTGTTGCAGCACTAATTAGGGCAGGGCTTGCTTGTTGACTATTCCCTTCTGTTTCTTCCCAAGAGTGTCTATTAATATATAACTATGTACATAGATCCAGAGCTTGATATATCTTCCCTCTTCAAAGTACAAAGTGAATTTTGGGTTTTGTTTATTCACTAATTAACAAAATGCCTACTCCTTTTGGCAACATATATGTTTTTACAGTGTCCTTGAGAAAAGATTATATTTCTGATATGCATTCGGCTTCAATAAAATCATTTTCACTGGCACTTGGGAATCTCTTTTTCTTGGCTTCTGTGGCTACATTCCTTTTACTAAATTTGTATTTGGGCCTATATGTAAATAACACGAAATGGATGCATGAAGCCCTAGGATAATAACAATGGTTATTGACCCCCAGGAGATAAATCTTCCTCTCAGTCTCTCAATTGCAGTGCTTTTCAAAATACAAAGTTGTTGCTGGGTAGCAAAGTATGTGGAATAAAGTTTAATGAACAATAAATTAGCCACTTGTATCTTGCTCAGAGAGTCTGTCTGACATAACTGATTTATCTAATTTCCTGTGTGATACTTTTAAAGAAAAGATTGGACAAACATTTGTCTGAAATGGTATAGGATTCCTGCTTGAGTAGCGGGTTGGACTAGATAGAAGATCTCCAAGATCTCTTCCAACTCTGTTATTCGGTTACACCAGACCCAAAAGACAATATGGAAGTTACATTTCATTAATGGCTCTTTTCAGACCCTATTGTTCCTTATGACTTTCCAAGTCAGGCCTTTAAAAGGTCCCTTCATTTTAAAGATCTTTTTAAAAGGTAATTTATTCAATTATGGCTACTTCCATCTTCGAAGAATGGGAATTATCATCTGTGGCTTTTGTGAAGATCAGAAAACTTCATTTAGTCTTGACTTGGCCACTTGCATCCTCAGGCTTATGAAACTTTGTGTCAGGTATGGCTGAACATAAAAAAATTGTCAAATTAAGTCAATGCAATAGTTTATCATGCAATAGTTTATCTTATGTATTGCTTTACCTTACATTATTTTGCAAAAAAAGCATAATAGCATAGAATCCTTAATCTTACGTCAGCAACTAATAATCAGACAAGGCAAATCAAATCACTGATATCCTTCAGCTTCAATCTTAGGGATGCAGCAAGTACCATATATAAATGTTTGAAATTGCTTTTAACACACACTTTGTCTCATTTACTTTACTTTGATATTTGTTTCTAAATTAAATGAGGGGAGATTATAATGTTTTGATATATCCCTTTCCAACCAAAGTTCTTTATTAACACATTTTGTTTATCTGTATGTTAAATGCCAAGAAAATACATTTCAAATATAAAAGTGATGTAAATGGTTGAATGATAATTTTTACAATACCTGGGTTTCTGTTTTATCAGCAAACTCATTAGAATCTGAACTGTCTGAACTGCAAAAGAAAGCAAGTATGTTGTTTTGATTTACAGGATTGTGAACAATAAGATATTCAACTATGTAATTATTTTATCAGATAACAGAACTGGGAAACACATCATAGCTAATGATTTCACCTTTTAATATTCGCTAGAAATATTTTTGGAGAAACAATCCATTTACCTAGAATCCCCTCTGTCTCCTATATCATTGACACAGGCAGCTGGATCATCCTGTTTTACTAGTTCCTCCAATTCTTTCAGGCATTCATTGTACTGGAAAAGATCAGAGTCAGCAGTGAAAATCAATGCCTATTATTATACAGTTCAGTATGAAAAAAATGTTCCTCTGTATTACCTTGCTCTTCTTTTCAGTACAAAACACCAATAATGAATCACAGAAATTGTATCCGATGGACTCCAAATCTTTAGTATTGAAGTGGGTAGCGTTACTATTTCCTATAATATAAAAGGGAAGCCATACTGAAAAAAGAACTGTTCAGCAATAATTTTATGTACTCTGGAGAATATAAGAAAACTGAATTCTAGCTATTATTTTACAAATTTATCAAATAATTTTTTATGAAAATATTCTTATACATTTTATAAATCATTGATAGATGCTTGAATTTCGAAAGGAACTTTATTATTCCATATTTCCAATCTGTACCAAATGCTGATACTGTCCTTGAAGGATTAGCTATATTTTGAAAGTGTTTTGCCTTGTTTTTTTACATGATGTTTACCTCATGACTCTTCTCCAAACATTCTGGCAATTAGAAATTTTGTTAAGAACTGCTAGCTTCCCCATTTCACTTGTAGGGCTAAAAGTAGCACACTATAGTAATTGAAACACAGTTGCTTATCTGTGATAATTGATACTCATAACCATTTTTTTTCTTTAGTTAAATGAAATTCTAAAACACTTTTGTAAACATTTCATTTCAACCTAGCCAGTTTTGAGGAGGGTTTGTTCTGCTTAGTACTTGGTAAGCTAGGCTGGCAATTTAAGAAAAAAAATATTTGAAAGACACAATACCACTTTCAAGGTTTGCCAAGAGTGAACATGTCCATCTGGTCACTGGGAATTGATTATCTTATCTTTATTTAGCAATTATCTCTACAAAACAGGAGCTGTTACTGAATGCATTAATTATTAATTCTGGAATAGTATTACTTGTCTTACCCAGTTTAGAGCCACAGAAGGTTACTTCCAAGGTATAACTGTTGTTAATGCCCATCTTCCACATAGCTACTCGACCTGTTCCTTCTTTGCCTTTTTGTATTTTAAAACTGCAATCTTGGAATGAGAACTTAATAGGAAAGGAAATGAAATAAAGTTTAGCAATTCCTGCTAGAGAGACATATTATTCATTACAGAGCAGATACGGGAGAAAATAGTGTACAGTTGTAAAGATTATTATCCCACTGCATTTGCAAAAATCTGATCAAACTTGTAGAAGTAGATCTTTAAAACTGTCATTAGTATAGAGACGCACAACCTAAAGTTCTGCTCAAAGGCTTGGGCACATTGTTCATATATTGAACGTATTTGCTCAGAAATGGATACAATAAAGAAGAGTTATTGAAAAGCTGAAATATACGATGGTGTTTAATTTATTAAATTTTAAATACATTTATCTCCTTATTCTACTACCATGCAGTACAGTTCACCCAAAGGCTAAGTACTGTCCCAAACCTGAAAAAAGTTATGCATTTATATCTTAATAGAATTAAGAGTTAATACAATATAACTGAAATTTATTTTTAGAATATTTATTAGAGGGACAAACTGGTTATGAGTTTTAGATCATTACAGTACAATATTAAACTAACATGCAAATGGATTCCGGTTTTGATTAATTATCTGAGATGTGATATTAAAAGTTGGCTTACTTTATCTGGACAATTTTTGTTCATAATGAAAGGAAAAATGCGCTGGAGTAAGCATGCCCTTTCATCTTGTTCTTTTTTTTCACAGCCATACATGAAGACATTTTCTTTCCTGCTATGACCATGTAGGTCACAGTATAGAAGAACATTTCGCTCTTCCATTATTCTGTTACAAGAGACAAAATCACATTATGAGAGCTTTGGTTATTGAAGCTTAGATACCCTGATTGGGGTTTTGGCTTATGTTAGGAATTGTAAGTATCATTTCAAGATAGTTTAGATTTTAAGTTTCCCAATATATGAAGGCATGACAGCCATTAGTAGTGATCCAGTTTCAATAGAAGCTTTTTCACTGAACACACTGGACATTCAGCTTCATCTCGTCACATCTCCCTTCATTTTGGGAAATATTAAATATACAATATTAAAATGTTCTGTCCATGGCAGCTTAAAAATTTTAAATTAAATCATATGTATGAGCTTCATCATTATATATAGCTTAATTAAAAATATAGTGTATGATTTTTATTGTTATATAATACTTATTCTTTTCTTTTTCTCCAGAAATTAGTCTTTTTATTATACACGTCAATTATAAGAAATAATAGCGTTACAATAAAAATTAAAGTACTGTATAGAAAAATCCAGTAACCTCTGAGCTAACAATAAATAAAGTGGAACAAGTTGGATAATAAATCATGCATTCATTAACAATGAACTAATATTGAACATAGAATAAATGTATTAAGCAGATAGAAATGATTGTGTTACCTTTTTACCTTTTGATCATGCTGCGGGTATACCAAATAGAAGGAAAAGAGTCTTTAAGATCTGATCTATAATTGCGATTCAAGTCCTTGCCGGCTAAAGAGCAGCGATAATTGCCCACAATCACACCATCTGGATTCAACATCGGTACCACTTTAAAAATAAAAGTGTCTCGGAGCAATTGGGCATTATCTGAATCCCCTAGAAGGTAATCCAGAAAGCCTTTCATCATCCATGAACTGTTTGTTTCACCAGGATGCACCCTTGCTGTCAAAATGACTGCTGACTTGCATTTTTCCTTATTAAAATCTTGCAAGGGATTAGTAATAGTTAAAACATAGACTATATTCCTAGCCAGAGAATGACATAATATACGTATTTTGCAGAATTTGGACCGCCGTGGGTCTCTGGCAATGGCTGACAAGTAGTCTTGCAGGTTGCTGTAAGTGTATGGATAGCAGTGGGCAAAATAGCAAGTATCCCTGTCATGTGGAAACTGGAAAGTCCATGTCAAGGAAAAATATTGGTGCCCATCATGGCTGAAATTGTTTTTATAATACTTGATTTGATCTCCTGTCCTTTGCCATCCCACTTTGTGGATCTTTGCTTCTGCTTCTGAATATAATAATGGACGCATGCCACGATTATACAAGCTTGTTGGCTTGGTGAAGTTGACAATGGTGAATCGGTAAGGCATTCCTGCTTGGGTGTTGGTAACCTGAAAGTAGTACCATTGGGTGTGCTTATTTGTGTAGAGATCAGTACGCAGCGTCAACTGATATTCAAAATCATTACTAGCAAGGGAAAAAGGAGAAAAACATTTTAATATAAATTATTCATAGGATGTCAAACTATTGTTGAATAAATTATTCATATTTCCTTCATGTCTATTAATATCAAATATTTTCTTAAAGCCAAATTTATTTGATATTTTATTTACAGGTCCCATTGTCAATTATTTGTATCAACTTTGAATGGAACTTTTTTACGGACCTATTTTAACATTTAATAATAAACATGTATACTGAGTTACAAACAAACTGAATGGTATTAAGGGTGATGAGGTAGAGAGATCCAAACCTCATTCTGGCACAAAATTAATTTAGTAATCTGGGACTCATTGCAATGTTAATAGCCTAATTTACTCCAGAGTTATCAGGATAAACAGGAAAAGAAAAATCAGGTTTCCTGTCTTGAATTTACTAGAAGTAAAACAGACTATAGATATAAAACCATACATAAGCGTGCACTAAATTTCCCAGGAATGGCATTTTAAATTTGAGTATATAACAGATCTCTAGAGATTGTTTTAATATAAGGATTTGAATACATGTGGAAATCCGGGGCAGATATTATTTTAACAGTGTACTTGAAAAATAACAGCTTTTAATTTGGTACCCTCCAAATGTGGTGGTTTACAGATCTACATGGTTCTATACAGAGAGCCAGTTTGATCTAGTGACTAAGGTGCGAGGCTAGAAAACAAGTGACTGTGAGTGCAAGTCCTGCCTTAGCCATGAAAGCCAGTTGGATGACCTTGGGCTAGTCACTATCTCTCAGACCAACCCACCTCACAAGGTTGTTGTGGGGAAAATGGGAGGAGGAAAATGCATTGGATATATTCACTGCTTTGGGTTGTTTGTAAAAATAATAAATATGGGATACAAATATATAAGTAAAAATCTAGAATTCCCAGCCCAGGCATATAGGATGAACATCAATTTAGTGAAAGGAAAAATAAAGACATAAACCCTATATTTAAAACATCCAGGTGAATATTTGTAATTCATGAGTAATGATCAGCCCTCACTAGCCCTGTCTTGATCTATAATTCAATCTCCAAGATCCCCTCCACACGCAATCTGAGATCAAGGCCTCACAACATTGTGGAGCTTGTAAAGTTGAGTCAATTATCTCCACAAATGAATATGTTTGGCTCTCAAACTTCATTAATATATTTAGCTCTCATGCTATGATGTCAGTCTCAAAATGTTCCTCTAGGACGGTGGGTAGAGTAGCTTCCCAATAATAGGAATTCCCACCTCATTCTACTGCCCATCTCTAGGATTCTCTCCTTCTTCAAGAAGCCCAGGGCCTAAAGTGTCTTGACTCCTCCTATCCTTTATTACTGAATGGAGAAATAACTGTCACTCCCACAGCAACGGTTCTTTTTTTCTAGTGTAAAGCCAATTGTAGTGAGGTGAACAGCAAAGGGATAGCATGTGTTGCTTACAGCTTTTAACAAATCCAGCTGGCTGGCTGGAGGGAGCATCAGTAGATGTGAGTGAACAATGAGATAAATGTCAAGTACTACAGGGAATTGAAAAAGGTGAGTGAGGCTGACATCTGTGTGGAAGAAATTATGTGTACATATATAAGTTTCTCTCCATACCCAGACAAGCTACAATGGGAGGTTTTATTACTTTATTGTACAAAGATAATGGCTCACAAACTTGAACACTCAGATTCCGGTAGTGATGCAAACTATACACAAATATTTGTGTTATACATTACTAGTTCAGAATTGGTTATAAATTCAAATGATATTCCTTCTTTCCTCTAAGATGCTAAGTATGTCAAATATAAATATGTATGTTCCTGCTCCTGCTGTAGATTGGAATATTTCTTCAAGAAAACATGGAGGATGCCTGATTTAGTTTCTTTCTTTTTTTTAGCCTCATACAAAGATTTTGGTAAGTAGGAGCAGCATTTCTGCCAGTCATAATTAATTGTACTTGAGAAAACAATATTATTTTCCTGAAAACCAGCTATTTGTCTTTGTCTTATAAAGCATATAAATAGACTGACTGATAGTTCTACCAAAGGAACTGACATTTTAATAGCTCAATAGATATACTGCTGCAGAAGAAAAATAATTTTTAAACTAAGGTGCTCATGATAAAGCCTAAAGTAATCAAATACAATTTATAAAATGGTTTGAGTTGAAACAGAGATAAGAGAATTTTGTGGAAGAAAGCTGATTGGACAATTACAAATGCAGTGAAAATGGAGGCAAGAAAAGTGAATGGGCCCATGTAGAAAGGAGAGGAGAAGAGATTGTGGAGATTAAGAAATGGAAAAAAGAATAAGAAAGGGAAACTGAATGTAGAAGAACATTAAAAGCAAGATGGATAGTATGAGGGCATGGAGCACAAAGTGACTGAAAAGATTCAAAAGGACAACCCTTTGTTTGAAACTGTGCCAGATGAGGTCTTAGAGAAGAAAAAAGATTGCTGATATTATTAATGGAGATGCAGTTTGGAGTCTAGTGGGGCTATTTGTGAATTGCTGCTGCTACCACTGCCAACATATTATTGCACATCAGCTGATTCCCAAAGCTCTTAAAAGGACTTCTCAGAATCTGACATCTGTGTTCGTCACTGGCAACCTCTTGGTTACTTCCAGGAAGACATTCAGTAAAGGGAGTAACGGTAGTCAAGGAATTAGTGGGGCAGTTCCTTGTACTCCAGAACTGGAAGCAAGAAGCAGAAGTGGATAAGAATTGTTTTTACAAGTCACTCAAAATCGAAGGTAATGGACTTGTTTGCGGGGAAGAGAAAATACAAAATTGAAGAGGGTCTGATGGCTGAATTGGAGTTTGTGGTGGATCAGACTGGGAGAAATGCTGATCTTATGTGGGGTAGTAGTAGAATTTCCCCCCTAGAATGATAATCCTGGGGAAATTTATTTTTTACATAAACAAGAGCAGTATATAGGGAGTGGGGAAGGTTGGGGGTGCTGTAATGGATTGCATGCTCATTTATGGATGACAGAAATGGGTCTGTATACTGACTTTGCCAAAGCAAAAACTGAATGAAATTCGAAGAGGGAAGAAATGGGGTGTCTGTCATTCTCTTAAACTGTTGGGAGAGTGAATGCAGAGAGAAAAGTGGAGAAAGAGGAGGGTGCAGCATAGCAGGTGTAAGAGGCGGAAGACACAAAATATGCCTGTCAAAACATAGAATATGAGCAGAAATTACAGTACTTCAGCTGGCTAGATCTTATGCCATGAAGGGCTATACAGAAAACCAGCACACCAGCTACCACAAATGATTGTGCATTTGTAACTGTACTAAATGTTGTTTTTTGTTTTTAATCTTCTGTTATTAATTTGGAAGCCATTTTGAATCTTCATAAATGGAACTGTGTATAAATTGATGTAATAAATACATAAATCCTGTACTTGGGCAGTATTTGTTAAATTACCATTGAAGATTATTTATTGTATGGCACATTCACATCACAGTTTGATTAAAAAGCACAAGAGATAAAAATATAAAATATGAAATAAAAAATCTAAAATACAGATAGTCCTCAACCTACGACCACAATTGAGCCCAAAATTTCTGTTATTAAGTGAGATATTTGTTAAATGAGTTTTGATCCATTTTACGATCTTTCTTTCCATAGTTAAGTGAATCACAATGATTAAAATACTAATATGGTTGTTAAGTGAATCTGGCTTCCCCATTGACTTTGCTTGACAGAAGGTCACAAAAGGTGATCACATGACCTTGGGACACAGCAACAGTCATAAGTATGAACCAGTTGCCAAACATCTGGATTTTGATCACGAGACCATGGGGATGCTACAACAGTCTTAAGTGTGAAAACCAGTCATAAGTCACTTTTTTCAGTGTTGTTGTAACTTTGAATGGTCACTAAATGAACTGTTGTAAGTTGAGGACTATCTGTACTATAAATATCCAGATTGCAGGTCTAATTTTTTTGCTTCATTTGTTGCTGCCAGGAAATCAACAAAGACCATATGTTTATATTGAAGAAAACATGAAATATAAATTTATTAATAATGACTATTTTCCTAAAAAGATGAATTGGAATTTGCATCTTACTTCATGCTGTCTAAATTCAAGGTCTACCAAGGACTGGCTTAATGCCACAGAAAATGGACTATTTTTCAAATTAAAAGAAAAATGGGAAGCAACTCACATTTTGACCACCTTTTGTAGATTTCCACTTTCAAATCGTGCTTCAAAGATCAAAGTATTATCCCAGTCATTCCATGATTGAGGAAGCACTTGCTTTGAAGGGAAACTTCCCCCTATTCGAGAATATCTAAAGCTGGGGTCCTTATCGGCTATTGAGAGGAACAGAATATAGTTAATTTTCAGTTGCAGATTATTGATAAAGAAACATTTTCTTTAATATATTTCAATGGCTATGAAAAGGTATTTGATTCAGTATTTTAGCAAGCAATAATTAATGCATTGCTTAACCAAGGCGTAGACATTGCTTACATAAACTTACTACAATCAATATATGAAAAACAAGATATATGCTTGGCAAATCAAGACAAGATGGAAAGACCTGCACATGGATTAGAGAACAAACGAAAGTATACAATATCATCAAGAGAGTAAAAGAATTGCAATGGAAATGGGTTGGTCACATAGCAAGAAGAACAGATGGCAGGTGGACCAAGACACATAGAATGGATTTTACTTGATAAAAAGCAACCACAAAAGAGACCTAAAACAAGATGGATCAACGACATCAACAAGTATTGAGGCTCAATTGGTATTTGAGTCTGTGACCGCTGAGGATGTTGACAGAGCGGTGGGAGCAATGAGCGCCTCCACTTGTTTATTGGACCCGTGTCCTTCCTGGCTGGTCTCGGCTGCCAAGGAGGTGACACGAGGCTGGCTCCAGGTGTTGATCAACGCTTCGTTGAGGGAGGGGTCTTTCCCACAATCCCTGAAGGAGGCGGTTGTGAGGCCCCTGCTCAAGAAGCCTACCCTGGACCCGGCTAATTTAAATAACTTCCGTCCAGTCTCCAATCTCCCCTTTGTGGGGAAGGTTGTAGAGAGAGTGGTGGCGCTCCAGTTCCGACGATCTCTGGATGAAGCAGATTATCTAGACCCTTTTCAATCTGGCTTCAGGCGCGGCTTCAGCACAGAAACCGCTTTGGTCGCGCTGAAGGATGATCTCTGGCAGGCCAGAGACAGGGGTTATTCCTCTGTCTTGGTGCTACTCGACCTCTCAGCGGCTTTTGATACCATCGATCATGGTATCCTTTTGCGACGACTTGAAGGGGTGGGAGTGGGAAGCACCATTTTACGGTGGTTCTCCTACCTCTCTGGCCGGTCACAATCGGTATTGGTGGGAGGGCAGAGGTCAACCCCGAGGCCCCTTGAATGCGGTGTGCCACAGGGATCGGTCCTCTCTCCCCTCCTATTTAACATCTATATGAAGCCGCTGAGTGAGATCATCAGACAGCACGGGGTGAAGTTTCATCAGTATGCTGATGATACCCAGTTATATATCTCCTCCCCGAGCTCTCTCAGTGAAGCGGCCGATGTGATGGGCCGTTGCCTCGAAGCCGTGAGGGTCTGGATGGGGGTTAACAGACTCAGGCTCAATCCTGACAAGACCGAGTGGCTTTGGATGTTGCCTCCCAAGGATCATGTCAACTGTCCAGTGTTGACTCTTGCGGGGGAAAATATACCCCCTTCGGAGCGGGTTCACAACTTGGGTGTCCTCCTTGATCCACAGCTGAATTTGAACATCAATTGACGGCTGTGGCGGGGAGGACCTTTGCACAAGTTTGCCTGTTGCACTAGTTGCGACCCTACCTGGACCGGGAGGCTCTCCTTACAGTCACTCACGCCCTTGTCACCTCACGTCTGGACTACTGCAACGCGCTCTACATGGGGCTACCCTTGAAAAGTATTCGGAGACTACAGTTGGTCCAGAATGCAGCCGCGCGAGTGATAGTGGGTGCTCCTCGATACACCCACGTTACACCTATCCTCCGTGAGCTGCACTGGTTGCCTATTGGTCTCCGGGTCCAATTCAAGGTGTTGGTCATTACCTTTAAAGCCCTATATGGCTCAGGGCCAAGCTGTTTGCGAGACCGCCTACTACCTCATAGTTCCCTATGTCCGGTTAGATCCCACAGGCTGTGCCTCCTTCAGGCCCCGTCGGCCAAGCAGTGCCATTTGGCGGGGCCGCAGAGGAGGGCCTTCTCTGTGATGGTGCCCACGCTTTGGAACCAGCTCCCCCAGGAGATTAGGACCGCTCTCACCCTGTTGGTCTTCCGTAAGCTACTTAAGACCTGGCTTTTCCGGCAGGCCTGGGGTTTATAAAACCTGACCCCTGGATGACTGTCTTTGTACTGTTTGTTTGTTATGTTTTATGTGTTTTTTATTGTTAGCCGCCCAGAGTCCTTCGGGAGTGGGGTGGCTTATAAATTTTAAAAATAAATAAATAAATAAATAAATAAATTGGTAAAAGAAAGTTGAGGACCGTATTGGTTGGAAATATGCAGAAGAGGCCTTCATCCTGCAGTGGATAAGCAATGGCTAAAATAATAATGAAATGAATCTGATATCTGATTCATTTATATAAATATAATATACATACACACTATATATAGTATACGTAAGTATATGTATTTCTTTCTCTCTGTGTGTGCATATGAAGCAGAGATAATTTTCAAATGATTGTGCTAAATTATATCTTTCTAGTTCTCAGTCTTCAGGTATATGATTAAAACTTTGATAGGGATATTTCAAATATATCCCCACAAAGTATATGAGAAACTCTCTCATCATACTTGATTTATGTGTGCAGGAACTAAAACAGTTTGAACCCTTCCTTCCCTCAACATCATCTGGATGTGTAGCTCAACTTCTACAATTCTTAGCAATGGATATATTGTCTGGATAACGTTGAACTGAAGTACATACTGTTGAGAGCACTTAATTGTTAGAAAATATTTACCACTTTACAGAATGCTTGATGACTTAAGATGGATCCAGTATTTATTCTCCTTTTAAGTTCTGCACACCTTTCTGGGATTACAGTATATCAAAAGTTTTCAGATTGAATAATTGTGGTTAAAGACAATAACAATTTAGTACCTGAAGATTCTCACGGCAGTTGTGCTATACACAATAAAATGTATACTATTCTGTAAATCTAAGCTATTACAGTATAAAACAAGATAAACAACCAAACTGAAATTAAAAAGAACTGAATTGCAAATGAGCCAAATGAAAGAGGCAATAAAGTCTCATTTGTACAAAAACAAAAAAGAACTTAAAATTCCACATACAAAAAGATTTACAAAAAAGTTAAAAAGATTATAATACCAATTCCTTCAGAGAAAGTGATTTGACTGAAAATGTTGGAAGGTTTTAGAGCTAATTATTTTTATTCAGTGTGTTGTTAAGTCTAAGTGCAGTATAAGGCAGAGCAATGTAATAAAACACTGTAAGCCAGCATCAGCAATAAGGCGCTATAGTTATTAATATAAGAAACTTCCTAATACTGGCACAATGTTAATATCATATTATTTGGAATAATGACAAGAAAAGTCTTCTAGATTAATAAAGGTCTTGCAAGGAAAAAAAAGAACTTTAAGAAATCCTGCTCTAGACATAACAGTAATTCAATGGGCAGTAGAAGATAGACAGGAAAAGCTAAGGTGATTTTTCACTTCATTCAATAGAAAATGTGTTGGAATATTCATGAACAGGAAGAGTCATGTGGTAACTCAGTCAGCCAATGTGAAGAAAGTGCTACTGAGTCTGTGCAAAAAGAGTATTGAGTTAGGAGCTGGATTTCCAGTCTCAAGGTTTTGTCTCTGGTCTGTCTCTGTAAGAAGACTTCATTGAGTTTTGTTGCTGTAAAGAAGAATGGTATTGTAAATATTTTTATATAAATATAAAGTTATTTGAATCAGCTAAATGCAGTCAACTCTGAGAGCTTCTGATTTATTTTTCACCAATAGAGAAATTTAAAATTCTCTAACAGGTTATGGGCCCAGAGCTTACTAAGGACTGCATTGTAATTTAAAGCTGGAAGAAATTGCCTGTGTTTAGAAAGTATAAGAACAAGGCAGAATTAGCAGAATGGCTGCAATGGAATTTAAGGAAAGATGTGTGCCTCATTTAGGCCAGAAGAATTACATTATGTGGGCTGCAAAAATGGAATGTTTGCTGAAAGCAAAAGAGCTGTGGTATATTGTTGAAAATCCACCACAAGTATTTGCAGCTGCAGATCAGAAAAGCCATGATCAAGCAATGGCTTATCTCATCTTGAATTTAGGTGATGAACAATTTCTAAATATTGCAAATTTAAAGACTGCAAAGGAGATTTGGTTGAAGTTGAGAGCTGTGCACGTGAATGTTTCTGCATGCAATATAGTGCAATTGTCAAGAAAACTTTACAGGGCCTGTTTGCAACCAGGTGAATCTGTGGAACAGCATTTAAATAAAATGAAAAGTTTATTTTTGGACTTAGAACAATGTGGGATTAAATTCCCTGAGTCCCAGAAGGTTTTATTGGTGTTGAACAGTTTAGATAAAACCTGGGACAAAGTTTCTGCAATATTTGAGTGCAAAGAAGAGCAAGACTTAAAGTTTGAGGCTTTAAAGGCATGTTTGCTTAATGAAGAAGAAAAACGCCATTTTAGAAGCAGCCACGAGGAGGAGAAATTCCTGAGGAGGGGATCCAGACTGCAAGTCTCCAGAGCAGAAGAAACAAGCAGATCGGACCCGGACCAAATTGCAACAAAAGAGAGATTTTGCAAGCAGAGAGTTTTGCAAGAAAAGAATTGCTACATTTGTGGAGTGAGCACACATTTGCAAAGGAACTGTTTGCAAAGGAACTGTTTGCAAAGGAACAATTTGCAGCAAAGGACATTTGTGCATGAAAAAAGGACTGCTTTGCAAAAGGAACATTTTGGTGTTGCAAAAGTTTGCTATAGTAACAACAGAGACAAGTGGCTAATAGATAGTGGAGTAGGTCAAACAATTGTTAACGACTCTGAAATTCTTTTGCAGGTTTGTTCCAGTAGCACAAGAAGCTGTGGCTTTGGCAAATGGCCAGAAAGCAAAAGTCATTGGAAAAGGCGATGTAAAAATTCCATATTTGGAATCAAAGTTTACCAATGTGCTTTGTGTATCTGAGATGGAACATAATTTGTTAAGTGTGTCTAATTTAGACAAACAAAATTTTGAGGTCATTTTTGTAAATGGGAAATGTCTCATCAAAAGGAATGGGAATATTTGTGCAGAAGGCATAAAGGAAGATAATCTATATGTATTGCAGGGACAAAAGGTTCAATGTTCCCATATATTTAAGAATGTTACAGAGCATGATTCATGTGTTCCTCCATTAATAATACTACATTTGCCATTCTATATGGGAGAAAGCCATCACTGGCACATTTGAGAATTTTTGGAAGTACTGCATGGGTACATATTCCTAAAGCAATCAGAAGAAAGGGACAGCAAAAGGCAAGAAAGCTCAGGTTTGTGGGCTATGAGCCAGGGTCAAAAGGATATCGCTTTAGCAATGGAAGTAAAAGAATTATAATTTCAAGGTCTGCTAATTTTGCAGAACAAAATTGGGACAGAATTAATGCAAATTCTGGGTATGTATCACTTAATGATGGTGATCTGTTTAGTGACAATAACTCATCTAATGATGAAAAAATTATTATTGAAGATGTCAATGTTCAGGGAGGAGAGGCTGAACAAGACATGAAGCCAGAAGGACTTGAGACACAGGAGCAGTTAATACCACGTAGGTCAGAGCGATGTAATAAAGGAATTCCGCCTGACAGGTATTCTGCCAGCAAGGTAAAGGTTTGCAATGTGTGGTATGAGCCAAGAAGTTATAAAGAGGTGTTGGCATTACCAAAAGCTGAACAAGAAAGATGGAAGGAGGCCAGGGATAAAGAGATGAAATCCATGGGAGATCATGAAGTATTTAAATCAGTGACTTTGCCACAGGGAACTAAAGCTGTGGGTTGTAAGTGGGTATATAAGAAAAAGGTATTGCCAAATAATGATGTACAGTATAAGGCCAGGTTAGTGGCACAAGGTTTTTCACGATTAAAGAATGTTATAAGTCAATAGGCCTGTTATGAAGGGAGGAGTGTTGGAATATTCATGAACAGGAAGAGTCATGTGGTAACTCAGTCAGCCAATGTGAAGAAAGTGCTACTGAGTCTGTGCAAAAAGAGTATTGAGTTAGGAGCTGGATTTCCAGTCTCAAGGTTTTGTCTCTGGTCTGTCTCTGTAAGAAGACTTCATTGAGTTATGTTGCTGTAAAGAAGAATGGTATTGTAAATATTTTTATATAAATATAAAGTTATTTGAATCAGCTAAATGCAGTCAACTGTAAGAGCTTCTGATTTATTTTTCACCAATAGAGAAATTTAAAATTCTCTAACAAAATGCAATTTTCCTTTCCAAGCCAAGTGCTTAAAAAGAAAATATTTGAATGATTAAAGCAGAATCTGGTTGTTTATCAAACTGATTAGCATCCTTAGCCATTATTTTATAAGGCATATCTTCACCACTACTCTTTTATTTTTTTATCCTTCAAAAGTCTAAAAGTTAAAATCATTTCATTGAAGCAATAAGAACGATGATAGAAAGGTAGATGTAGCCAAGAGACATAAGAAAGCACTATCCTGGTGATGCTTAAAAATGTGAAGGGGGAAAGGGAGGGAGGGGAGGGAAGGAAAGGGAATGGAGCCACAGTTCTGATTAGATTAAATTCTTAAGGAGATAACAGGGTATGAATTATCTTCAAAAACACTGATCCTATTACTTGGCACAATAAAACTTTTAAAAAAATAATAATCTATTACATTAACTAAAAGGATAACCAAAGAAAAGAACCAACACTGGCAGAAAGAAAATTAATTTATTAAAGTGATATACTTCAAAAGAATTGTGGGATGGATTATGGAAAATGCTATGAATTGTACATTTAGTATTACAAAGATTGTGGTGCTAAAAATTTAAGATTCTATTTTTACAAAACTGGAATTCTAGAGCAGTGGTTCTCAACCTTCCTAATGCCGCGACCCCTTAATACAGTTCCTCATGTTGTGGTGACCCCCAACCCCCCCCATCCAGCTGGCCGGGGGGTATCAAAACTTGACCAAAAAAAAAAAAGGAAAAAATGGGAAAGTATAGGTAGTCCTCAACTTATAACAATTCGCTTAGTGACTGTTTGAAGTTACAACAGCACTGAAAAAGCGAATTATGATCATTTTTCACACTTATGATTGTTGCAGCATCCCCAGAGTCATGTGATTTACATTCGGATGCTTGACAACTGATTCATACTTATGACTTTCACAGTGTCCCAGGGTCACGTGATCAATGGCCAGGGGACGTGGCCAGCTGATCACTCAGGTTGCAGAGTGCCTGTGGGGGGAGAATCTGTGGGTCTCTGGGGTGAGTGCCTGCCTTCCTTCCCTCCCTTTTCTCCCCTTGTCCCTTCCTTCTTTTCTTCTTTTTCTTCACTTCCCTCTTAGTCTCTTCCTCTTTCCCTCCCTCTCTCCCATTGTCCCTTCCTTCTTTCCTTCCTTTCCTTCACCTCCTTCTTAGTCTCTTCCTCCTTCCCTCCCTCCCATTGTCCCTTCTTTCCTTCCTTTCCTTCACCTCCTTCTTAGTCTCTTCCTCCTTCCCTCTCTCTTTCCCATTGTCCCTTCCTTCTTTCCTTCCTTTCCTTCACCTCCTTCTTAGTCTCTTCCTCTTTCCTCCCTCTCTCCCGTTGTCCCTTCCTTCCTTCTTTCCTTCCTTTCCTTCACCTCCCTTAGTCTCTTCCGCCTTCCCTCCCTTTCCCATTGTCCCTTCCTTCTTTCCTTCCTTTCCTTCACCTCCTTCTTAGTCTCCTCTTCCTTCCCTCCCTCTCTCCCATTGTCCCTTCCTTCCTTCCTTCCTTCCTTCCTTCCTTCCTTCCTTCCTTCCTTCCTTCCTTTCCTTCCTTCCCTCTTTGTCCCTTCCTTCCTTCCCTCCCTTCCATTGTCCCTTCCTTCCCTCTCTCATTGTCCCTTCCTTCCCTCCCTCTTCGTCCCTTCCTTCCTCCCCTCTTCCGTGCCCAGGAAGGGATAAGGGGAGGGAGACAGGCTGCCAGAGGTAGAGGAGAGCTCCGCCCAGCTCACTTGCTCAGCTTCACCAGAAAACAAGTCTCTTGCTAAATTAGCAGAAGCCCCAGGATTGCCGGGCTACAGCTGATTCATGCTTCTGCTAAATTAGCAAGCTAGCAAAGCTCGAGCAAGTTTGCTGGGCAGGAGCCAAGGAGAGCTGCTACAGCTGACTTGCTTCTTGGCTGCTCTGCAAAAGCGCAGATCAGCTGTAGAGGTTCGCCCCGATCCTGGACAAGAGGGAAGAAAGGAAGGGTGGAAGGGACAAGGGGAAAGAGGGAGTGGAGGAGGGACAAAGAGGGAGACGGAAGAAAGGAAGGAAGGAAGGAGAGATTGAAGGGGAAGGGATGGAGATGGAAGGAAGGAAGGAAGATTGAAGGGGAAAGGAAGGAGATGGAGAAGAAAGGAGATTGAAGGGGGGAGGCGCTGCCAAGGATGCACAAGCAGCTCCGCACAATTGCCTGGGGAGGGGGAAGGCTCTGGCGGAGAGCCTGGTGGAGAGCCAAGCGACGGCACTTCTGGGGCCTCGGAAGTCGCGCGGATGATCCGTGCGCCTCGGAGCCGCCGGCCGCCCTCTCACACCCGCCAACCTGGAGCCCCCCATCTTCATCCCGGCACCTCTTGCCCTCTCCCAGCTGCCCCCCGGGACTTGCCCGCCCCTCCAGCCATCGCAGCGGCGGGGTTGCGGGAGCCCCTTTCCATGCCGCGCAGCCCATCACATGCGCGAGGGGTTTGGCCGGAGCACCAGCTCCTGCTCGGAAGGCGCTGCTTCTCCCCTCCTGGCCCGGCTGCCTGGCCTCCGACACACATGTGGGCATCGCCACCGCCTCACCCTCTTTCCCGCCCCCTGGCTGCTTCCGAGGCCCAGAGCCCAGCAAGCCGGGAAGGAGCCGCTCCTGCCCAGCAGCCCCACGGCCGCACTGGGCGGCAGAAGGCCGAGGTGGCCTTTGACTGTGAGGGGGGCGGGCTGGGTGGCGCGGGGGAGACTCCCACACGGTGCAGAGGGCGGCCAGGGGTGGAGCGCGGCTGGGCAACCAGGAGGAATGGAGACCGGCTCGGCGCTGCAGCTCAGCTCAGCCAGCAGCGGTTTTCTTGCCCTTCTCCTCTCCTTCCTCCTGCTGCCCCCAAAGCGGCTCGGGCAGGAACCAGGAGGAAGAGGGGTGCCTGGGGAGAGCAGCCGGTCTGGCGGAGGGGCTGGCAGGCCTCACAGTACCAGCCCCCACCGCAGCTCCATTGATGGACGGAGGACCAGGCCCGGCAGCATGGGGGCTGCGGGGACTGGCAGTGGTGGCCGCTGCTGCATCATCATCGGGGGTCCCCGCCGCCCCCATGCTGTCCAGCCTGGTCCTCCGTCCATCAATGGAGCTACGGTGGGGGCTGGTGCCGTGCAGCCCGCCAGCCCGGCTGCTCCCCCCCAGGCATCGCTCTTCCTCCTGGTGGCCGCCCGAGCCGCCTTGGGGGCAGCACAAGGAAGAAGGGGAGGAGAAGGGCGAGAAAACCGCTGCCGCCGTCCCCACTGCCCGGCCTCACCCTCCTCCCATCTGATAGAGCCGCAGTGGGGGCTGGTGCCATGCGGCCCGCCAGCCCTTCGTCCAGCCTGGCTGCTCCCCCCCAGGCACCCTTCTTGCCCCGGCGCCCACCCAAGCCGCCTTGGGGGCAGTAGGAGGAAGAAGGGGAGGAGGAAAAGGATGGCAAGGAAGCTCCTACCTTTGCTGCATCTCCTTCTTCCTTTCCGGCAGCCTGGACTCTGGCGCGCCTTCCTGGCCAGCTTCCCCAGGCGGCTCCAAGGCCACGAGGCCCTGGCCGCGCTTCTCCCAGGGGGTGGGGCACCCGGGCGCAGGGCCAATCAGGAGCCCTGCAGGAGATAAGTCTGCCTGAGAGAGAGAGAGAAGGGAAGCGAAAGTGCCTCTCTGTCTCTGCAAATGGCGGAGTGGTGTCTTGGTTCCTAAGATCATCGGAAATATGTGTTTTCTGATGGTCTTAGGCGACCCCTGTGAAACGGTCTTTCGACCCCCAAAAGGGGTCGCGACCCACAGGTTCTAGAGCTTTTTTTTTGTCTTAGAATTTGCATATAGAATTCCATTTTAAAACTACTTTGTACAATAAAATGTAAATAATTAAGTTATATGTGTGTTCTCAATAAAATCTTGTCAGACCTTCATCTGCTAAATACACAACAGCACCTTCCCCTGGATCTGGACATGGAGGTTCGATCTCTAAACCTGTGGGATTGTAGAGAAGCTCTGGATGAGATGGAATCCATTCTGCAAAGAAAAAGAAAGAAAATAGCTTTAAAATAATGCGTTAAAAAACAAAAACATATTTTAAGGTGCAAAGGAGAAGAATACTGCCTATAAGATGATTAGCTTTTTTAAAATGAAAAAAAGATATATTGATGACCCTTCATTTTATCTTTTCAAAAACATAAACTAAATTGATCAATTACTAGCATTGCCAGTAATCCAAACACAAGCTGTCAACACTGAAATCTGTGTAGTACCCTGCTAATTTATTATTTCTCTTCTGTAGTAATCACCTATACTGTACTTGGAATCCAAAGAACTAATATGTATAATTCTGCAACTACAACCTTCTTTTATTTACTTCCTATTATGGTTTCATGATTACTTTAATCTGTACTTTATAAGTAGCTTTAATATATTTTAATCAATTATTTTAATTATATTCCCATTCAGAATTTTTAATAGAATCTATAGAAATTTTTAAAACCACAACAAAATATAATTATATATTGAAACTTGGGTAAAATTTTATACAGTACATGTACATTTGTTATATTTTCTTTTTCCTTTAAACTTTTTGTTTTATTAAATACCACTTTTTAAACCAGCAAATGTCCAACTGTAATAACAACAGCAGCAGCAGCAGCAACAACAACAATAATAATGTTGGAAGGGACCCTGGAGGTCTTCCAGTCCAACCCCTGTTCAGGCAAGAAACCCTATACCATTTCAGACAAAAGTCTGTGTTTCTACTTGTGCTACAAAAATGGAAATATACCTTACAAAGTGAGCAACAGAATTTTACTGAGCAGCTACAATAAAATTCTTGTTAGGTAAGATTCTTTCTTATATTGTTAACTAGTTATACAGTAACATCAATGATAACACTTCATTAGAAATAGGAAGACAACATTTGTAAAAATAATTATAGGAACCAGGTGAGCAGCATGGTGGCCTAATGGTGAAGATGCTTGCCTCCCACTTGGAAGGTTGAGAGTTCAATCCTAGATAGCAGCCGATGATTCTCTCAGGGCGCAAAGAGAAAATATCTGCTGCGAACTTCACATAGGCACCAGGAAATGCTCAGCTCCATTCAGCTGCACTGACTTTACCCAGAATCAAGGGTTTACAGAGTCATAAAAAGAAAAAAAAATAGGAACAAGGTAACCAGTTAAGAAATCAAGTGTGCATTAGCAAGTCCCTGTATTTGTATTGGTAGAATAGTTTATCGAGCCAGATGAGCCTTTAAACTGAGTGACTTCATTACAATAAAAATATGTTAACATAAAAACTGGTATACATTCTTCCTATGTTGTATGTGGGGGTTGCCACAATTGGTAGGTTTATATAGCCTACCTTCAAGTTATTCAATTTTATTTAAATAGTAGAAGACTGCTTTTGCCAGAAGGTGTCATCACAGGAACTCAAGACTTTATTAGAAAAAAAAACCCTGCACAATTCTTTGGGCTAAGGTCCTATACAACCTAGAGCAAATAGAAATTTCTTTCCAACACAATTTCTAGTGAGTAGATGGATACTTCCATATTGTTTAGTTGGCTTTGCCATTAATTTCTTCAATGTAGAAAAATTCTCTATCTATAGTCCTGAAATTTCCTGATGTTCACAATCAAAATACTCAACAGGTTCTGGCCCTTCTTAGCTTCTCAAGCTCAGTTGTCAAGGTTGGCTAAAAGCTACTATCTATTCTTGAATTTGGCCTATAATCATAACAAAAATGGAGATTCACAAAAGCAGACAAGTCTTCAAAATAAAAGGGCAGGATTGTCATCTCAAGAGTGTTAAATTAATTTTGATTTTTCCCACTTGCTGTATCTGAAATTAAAGCCTTCTACCTGAGATGATAAAGCTAAAATCATGGCATTACATTCTATATATTCATATCTCAGTCACCCTTTGGAGCAAATGCTTCACTCTTAAGAAAGTCCTCAGAGCAAGGAAATTAAGGTTGGTGACCACAGAAAATGCTCGTGTCATCATAAAGTCTCTGCTGTTATCTACTGCAGTGCTTTAAACCCATCCGCATGTCTAACTTCAATGTTTCAAACTACCGTTGGAATTAATTCCAAGAAATGTCAAGTTGATCAAATCACAGAGCAATATCACATTCATGAAGATATAATTGGATTATCCAAACAAGCACAATTGCAATCCTATCCTCTTCCAACTAGTATGGAACTGTAACTGAGGATGGGATTGCTCTATTAAAGAAAAAGATATACAATTTTTGAGAATCTTTAGGCTTGATGTTGTTGAATAGTCAATTGTTAAAACTATTCATTTTCTTTAATACGCATTTGTTTACGTTTAAATTTGAAAGCCGAATTAACTGCATCAATGAAAAGTGTTGAATCAAGGAAAAATATTTAAGTGGTTGAAGCAAATCAGAAAGTACTTTATTGGAAATAATATTTCTTTGTGAAAAATGTCACATTAGAAAAGGCTAAAATATTATTTACCAATATGCTTAATTTTTTCTCTGATAACTTCATACTGATGTGGCCAGCGTACTAAGTGCAGATCTCCTGCAGGAGAAAGCCCATATAAATCTCGTGGTTCACGAAGTCGTGGTACCCATTTTCCAGAGTTATATTCCAATAAAATCTGTGTTGTCCGTGGCAAAAGTTGATCACAAAAAGAATCTGTAAGACAAATGTGTGCATGTGTTGATCACTGATCAGTTTTGACCTTGATGCTTCAATAGCTTTCCCTCTGAAATCATGGATGGTAAATTTAAACAAATGCCCCCATTTTCTGAAGTACATATTTTTCAAAGAATTGTGTTCTCACACTTAACCCAACCCTTAATAAATAGGTTTATTAATAAGTAGAAATAAATTGATCTGACTAATGGAATTTAAAATAAATTCTTAAAACTTAAGTGCCCCCAAATCACTTCCTCCATATTCAGATCCAACAAAAGAAGTAAATTATTCACTGTGATTTTGTGGCAGATCATATCTGATTTTTAGGCAGTAATAAATACTTCTTTTGTTAGTTTTAAGACTTTTTGATCCTGGAATTATAATACTCAAACAAATCAAGAATCTTGTCATCTCTATATTCCAAATAAAAATATTATTTATGACTGTGGTATACTGCAAGTTTTGCAAAAGCTGCAAATTAGCCCAAAATGGCAACAGAAACTGTTCCACAAAACAAATTTATTTTATAAGATTTAGCTTTGAGTGAAGGGTTAGACATGTATATGGTATCATTGAGTTTTATGAGGATATATTTGAAAGAATCCATAGTTTGGTTATAATTGCAGTGGCAGTGGAAAATAAAGATTTGCAACATTTTGAATCAATATAACTAGGAGAAAATATTCTGCGATGTAATATGAATAAATGAATGAGAATAAGATCTAATGCAGAATTTTGAACTATTATTTGGAACATTCAAAGACCCAAACAAAAGTAGTTCTGAATGTGGAAAAAAAATAGAATTAATTTCTGATGGAAATTAAATCAAAACTGAAGTGTGGAAAAGAAATCTAAGTTAGGAACCATGACCAGATTGAATGGAATTAAAAATGATAAACTGAAATGATAGAATGTTGGAAAGAGCATTTTGGAAGGGACGGGGGGGGGGGAGGTGCTGCAAGCCATTTTTTCATTTTTTAGCAAGTCACTGAGAAATGTAGTAATATGTAGTTGTTGCAAGGAATAAATGTTTGCTGAATAAAATAGAACAAGCTTCTGCTCACAGTCCACTGGAAATTAGATTTGTCAGAAAAATCAAAACAGTAAGTTAATGCAATAGGAACAATATACTTAACAAGTATAAATAACAAAATAAGAACAGATAGATTCAGGAGCAAACGGAAGCTAAATGAATATATAATTAGTATGAAATAATTATGCTGAGATAGTTGGGTCATAAAGAGAGAATAAACCAAGTTGGAAAACAAATATTTACAGAGTTAATGAATTAAGAGAAGGGGACAACCAATTTAATCATTAAATGGGGCTGATGAGTTCCTGAAAAACTGAGAAGGAAGAAATTTAAAGAAGAAAAGGCAATGCATGAAGAAGAGGATGGACACAGTCAAAGCAAGAATACTTTGTAAGGCTTGAAAGATATGGGTAGACAGTGAATATTATTGTGTAAACTAGAATTAATTATATTTTCTTATCATCTTGTGGCTTTAACATATGTGGATTATACTTTCTTAATTCCTTTTTCAGGCTACCAGTTAAAATTCCAGTACGATGGGCGTATAGATATGTATTCAAGTATGTTATTTATTAGTATAAGAGATAATTCATTAACAAAAAAAGTGAACACAATTTCTTCAGATGTGTTCCAATATATTTAGAAGGCATTATGTATGCCAACCTTTTGCTACAGCTACATGGCAATTCATTTTTAATGTTACCCATATGTATCCTCAGTTCACAAGAAATAGAACTATTCAGACCTGCGACAAATGCACACTGCTCAAGATCTTCTGTTACGTATGGGATAAAAGAATCCTCATCCTAAAATACAAATAAAATAAAAGAGAAAACGTGATTCTTGCAAAATGAAAATTAACGATTTGGTAAAAATAACTATTAATAGGAAATTCATGCTTAATTTTTAATTTTGCAGGACAAAACTAAAAGAAATAATGAGGTGAAAAGAAAAAATAGATCCTGGGCTTTGGAATAAAATACAGAAAATATGCATATTATTAGGCATCCTGAATTATCAGGATGATCTGTCCTACAGCATCAAATAGGGTGAGTGTGCTTCTCTTAAATGTTGTCATCTGGTGGGATCTCAGACAGGCGTTTTTCATGATAGCCCCAACCCTTTTGAAAAATCTCCCCTTTGAGATTCAGAGGAGTCCCACCTTATTAGTTTTCTGGAGAACAATAAAGATTTAGTTCTTTACCCAGGCATTGGGCTAGGATGGAAGTGAGACCAGCAAATATAAATATAAATGTAAAGTTGTTTGGCTGCTGTGGCATATAAGTATGTTGTGGGACTCTTATAGAAATGTATTGCTATATTAGCTATATCTATTGAGTGTCATTGTGAGCTGCCTGGGATTATCATGTACAAGATGATCATATAAGTTTCCTAAATAAATAAATACAGGTTAATCCCAGTGTAATTTGGTAAAGACCACAGCATGGATTGCTAGAGATCAAAGCAGAGAGTAATACTTAAGTCAAACTATTCACATCTTTTAGTTGTATACAACAGATTACAATTCCTATCACAGTAGTCTGAGTATCTCACAGGGGGAAGAACTGTAATTCAACACATCTTATATTATTTGATAAGGCAAGATTATTGTGAATAAAGATTTCTGCCTCTGAGGTACTATATTTGAGACTTCCTACACATAGATTTTGCCCGTCTGGTACAAAGAGCTGAGAGGACTTGTTGAGGTTACCTTCGTAGATGTCAGGAGGCTGTAGGTCTGGAGGTAGATCTTTTCAGTGCCAGCTCCTTCATCTGCAACATTTTATCACTTGGGTTGAAGAAGACTATTGACATTATGGCCCACTAATGGGCTATAAAAATGATTCTTCTTGTATAGTATTTGGAAAAGAAGATTTCAAGTAAGTGCTCAGGTCTGGTTTGGTAAGGCAGTGGTCCCCAACCCCCAGTCCGTAGACCAGTACCAGGCTGCGGCATGCCAGCAACCATCTGCACAAACAAGCAAAGCCCCATCCATGGGATGTAGGCAGCACACAAAACCGTGCACTCTCCAGTCTGTGGAAAAACCTTTCTCCACGGAACCAGTCCCTGGTGCCGAAAAATTTGGGGACTTCTGTGCTAAAGAATTTTTATAAATTTGTATTGTGATTATGAGATCATTGCTTTATTATTTTGTTGTTTCTATTAGATAGTGAGCTACCTTAAGTCTTGGACAGAGGTGGCATAAAAATGATGGAAATAAAGAAGTAAAATGAATAGATTCTATTTTCTGCTAAAGTTATTAAGCACAAGGAAATGTGTTAATTATTTATGGAAAACTATTCTGTATTTGGATATGTGGCATTTGGATAAGAGAATGTGTACAAATATAATAGTTTCAATGCAATACATTTCTGTAAGAAGCAATGCAATTTTGGGCTTAGCAGGTTTGGCTTTTATAAACTGCACATTTTTTAAAAAAATATTGGATGTAAAAAATGTAATGCGGAGAAAATACTGCACAGATAATGCAAGGAAGTGCATACTGTATATTTAAATAATTGTTATGGTATCTACTGCCCAGACAAATACAATTTAAATGCATATGAGGAAATATACAAGTAGGAGAGGAATAGTTATCTACTGTATGTTCCCTTTGACAAATAAATGGACTATATAGCTTAGAATCAGCTATGTTTGAAGTGCATACAAGCCCAGTTATTAATTAATTAAATGTTAGAAGAATATAAAAAACTGAAAGTTTAAACATACTGAGTTGTAATTTTCACTGGTTAACTGTTCTATGTATTGCTTGTCCTTATTTGAATCTTCGGACATAATCTTCTGAAACCAGGCCCTTTATTTTTCCTCCACAGACTGAAACATAATCAAAATTATTATATGAACACTGCAAATACACAACCATCTTTGTTAATATTTCTAAAAATGCATTAGTCAAGCTATTGAAAGCTTTCAGTATAGTATAACATTTTAAAAACACAAATAAAATTATTAAAAATCAATGATTAAAATTGCAGTTTAAAAAAGCAACAATTAAAATACCATTGAAACAGACTACCATAATTAAAAGCACTACATATCTGATGAAGTTCTAGAAAATTAAAAAGCTCTAGGCTGAAACAATAATTCAACAGGTGCTGAAACAGACACTTCTGGAAACAGTATTCCTTATCTTGGAGTATCTATTTAAAGTGACCCATCCCTGAGTAGGCACCTGAGACATTGGGAGCAGGGCCTTATTCTACGATCTCAGGACTTACAGTAAATAGGAAAACATGCCACAGATGTTCTTCCACATAGTACAGCCCCAACATGTAATCATACTGGAAGAAAACTGGGAACCAATAAATAAAATATGTACTGTCATTACCATGATAACACACCATTTCATTTGGTATTCTAGCTGTCTTATTTTGTATCAACATAAATATTTTGTACACATATCCAGATAGCTCCATGAATTATCTTGTAATATCCTTAATAGTAATCTGCAATACTCCCCTACCAAAAATATTAATAATTTTCAATCACTTTTTGGGTGTTGATAATAATTTAAACTATAGTCTCAATTCTATCTCAAAACAATATATGTTTTCCCCGAACACATGTAATATTCTCACTTTATTTAAATATTTCACTATCACTATATTAATGGGTTTATAAGAGGAAAGCATGAATATCTCTCTACATTTTTCATTTATTAAATTCTGAGGCCTCATTTGACTGTAATGTTTTAATTATAATTTATCTTTACCTTTATGTTTACCTTTTTGTCACCTTGCCATTTTTACCCTTTTTTTGCTTTCTTATGTTAATGTTTTAAATAATTTGTAAACTGCTCAGAGTTGCTGGGAGTCAGCCAGCGTATACAGGTAATAAATTATTATTATTTTATGCCATGTGGGATGTACAAAAATGTATCCATAAAAACAGAAAAGTATGACACAGTGATTGCCTCTTCCATACCACTTTTGCTGTCTGATAAAATTTCTTAAAATCTGCTATATAATGCTTTAAAAACTTAACCTTTAAATATATTTGTAAAGAAAAAGCTAGTAATTTCCATTGCCTTCCAGTAATGTTATCCTTCCACAGCAAAACATAAATCAAGAATAATGATCCATTGAAGGTGCAACTGACTAGAAAGTCTAAGGACCCAGGGCTGCCAGTCTTGTGGTGGCCTCATATATTTATATTGGTTGAGGATGAGATAAGGACACTGTCATAAAGACAAGACAGAAAAAAAAAGTTGTTGTGCTGATGTAGGCACAGTTGGGAAAAGGCCCTGTGACAGCTAAGTCCAACAGAGTCTTTGATAGTTTAAAGATGGGCTTTGCTTAAGCTATAGTTGGAAGGCAGGCAGAGAAGCATCTGAGAAAGGTGGGTACTTTTTAAAAGAGCATTCCTGCTCTAAAGAGCTGTGTTATTCAGCCTAAAATACATGACTGTATCTGTGGGCAACTATTCTTCCAGAAAAAAAATATTTTGGCACAAAGATGGGTATATAATTCTCACATCTGAAATATAATCTTTAGTTTAATTTAGCTTGTGGTAGCTGATTCAAGCTAAAAAGTCAACATAGATTGCAAATCTCTTCCTAGTACATATTAAAACAGGGGTCTTCAAACTTGCCCCTTTTATGATTTGTGGACTTCAACTACTAGAATTCCTCAGCCAGGCACGCTGGCTGAAGAATTCTGGTAGTTGAAGTCCACAAGTCATAAAAGGGCCAAATTTGAAGACCCCTGCATTAAAATATTATGTGCAGCCTTGTTGCTCTCTGAGCTTGGTTGTTTTCTTTCATTACTCAAATAGGTAATATCTTCAGTGCTAGGAGGGAGTGGGGTTTTCTCTATGCTTGCCATGTCAGTGTTTGGTGAAAGTGTTTTTAGTGGTTCCTTGATTAGGCTGTTGTTTACTGCTAACTTGTTTATCAGAGTGTTGGGTAATGAAATATCTGCAGGAAAACAGCTTAGAGAGCACCAAGGACACCACAGTTCAACTGTGAGCTATAAAGATTCTTTTCTATCGAAAGCAATATGCAGACAAATACTTTAAGGAAATGTTTCTCAATCTAAGTACCTTTAAGATATGTGAACTTCAACTCCCAGAGTTGTCCAGGAAATTCTAGAAGTTAAAGTCCACACTTCTTAAAGTTGCAAGATTGAGCAACACTGCTCTAAGATTTTCCTCTTTAATAAATCATCAACTCTGCAAAAATACTAGTTAAATAATTTCTAAGTAGTTTCTGCTAGATGGAAACTGATCATATTAAACAGATGGATTTATTACATCAAAATGGGGGGTTTTCAGCAACTGTGTAATGTACAATAACTATGTAATGTAATTATTTCAGGAGCCATGTAATGTAATTATTTCAGGAGCACAACTTGAAGGAATCGTTAAGTCCTATTTAGTTGAACGTAGAAGATTATGGCTCAAGATTCAGTAGATGAGTCTGGAAATTATCTCAGATCATAACCCATCAATCAGATCCTCCCTCCCGAATCTCACTTGCATTCTGAAGAATTCAAAAGTTTGCATGCTATTACTTGACAACCTGCTTGGCTTCATAAAGCTATTGCCTTAATGTGGGGGTGTGTGTGGAATTCACTGCCTGCGATGCTTTTTCGTTACCTGCTGCTCACTTAGAATCATTTGAGCTCAGCGATGCACACTTCCACCGTGTTCTGTTCCCTCACCTTTGTATAGACGCGTGACTGCTGATTCCCGAGTGCTGCGGAAAAAAGAGGAATCCCTAACCTCGCATGGCTAAATGTCAATTTCGACCTTAGCATCCAGCCCGCAGCAATGTCAAACCGCTGCGCTGTCAGGGCGTGGCCTCGGCACCCTCTCGTGGTCCGTGATGGCGGCGCTGCCGTGAATTCCAACGAGGAGGGCGTTGCTATAGCAACTCCGAGCGCGCCGGTTCTTTCCTGGAATCATTCGCCTTTTCCGCGCCTTCTTCCGTGAGCGGCCTCGACTTGGAAAAGCAACCCCGCTCTCGCGTCAGAAGAAACGAGAAATAGATGTCTCCGCTTTCCCCCTTAAAACAGGCGTACCACTCGAAGCAGAAAAGGAGAAGAGAGGGAAATATTTGAATACCTTTTTCTTAATTGGCTTATACTCTTTGGTCGCACTGCGCCCTGTTTGCAACTCTGCTACCTACTTAGAGCAAGTTGGTGAAATCGCTTCCCAGGAGCACAAAAGGGGGAAAGATTGCCGAGAAGTGCGCTTACCTGCATACTGGCATTGTGAAGATTCTGGATTTCCCTCTCAGCCTTCCTATCCTAGTAAGATCCAAAAGAGATTGACCAAAAAGTTCATCTCGGGTCTGAATTCCTATGCAGTGAAAAGGAAAGGGCTTGCAACTTCTGGTTGTAGTTATCCACGTTTCTGCACACTGAGATAATCGGCCACCTGTACAAATACAGAGCCTATCATGCTTTTATATTTATATGGAACAGATACATTACCTGAAAATTTAGGGGAGAAAAAAATTGTGTATATATGTATTTTGGTTCTGACTTTAGAAGCATTTGGCACATCTGCACTGACAATTATACTGTCAATTATATACCTATAAATACATCATGCGTGACATAATTTTTGGAATGTGTAAGAAATTTGAACCCGCCCACAAACTCATTTCCCATTGTTTAGGTATATATAGAAAGTAAACACTGAAATAGATTTGGAAAGAGTAAGGACTTTGATTAAATGGAAATGTTGCTAAGCATAGAACTGTTGAGTAAACTTGCAGCTGTTTCTGCTGTTATCTTTTTTTGTGCTTGTGATTTTACATCACATTTTAAAATCAGCTAAATTGAATAGGAATAAGATTGTGACTGAAAGACTACTAATTCTGAAATATAGTAAATATCTTTAACAAGTAACGTTAAATTTAGCTTTAGTAGTGTAATTTGCTTGCTTACTGTAGCTAAACTTGGAAATTATATTTCTAAAGCGTTAGTATGGATCATTTAAGAGCAAAGATTTAATATTTATGATTCAAAAAATATAAATGTGTGAGAAACATGTTTTTAAAGACCTTTGCAGCTTGTTCTCATATATAGCCTGCCAAAGGAATAACTAAAATTATGAAATTTAGAATCTGCCAAGCTTCCCTCCCATGGACAGAAGACAATCCATGGGAAATGTGAATCAGTAATCCATAGCTTTCAGTAAATGAAAAGAAACGGGAGCTGTCTTATTCTGCTCATGAATATTTTGAGAATAGTTACTTACAAGTTCACATCAATTTAAATCAGATTGTTAAAATGTAATCATTAACTGCACAGCTTTAGATATTAGATAAACAGTAAAACCAAATCCACACTTTGGTTCCCTATGTAAGCACAAGTGTTTAATTTGCTCATTTGCAATTCTGAATGATTCTTTCTCTTGGAGCCTAACAGAATTTATGATTTGAGGTCAGTTTAGGATGCATTGTCGATGAGGTATTGCTTTCTTATCATAGAATACAGCTCAGAAACCAGCTCAATGAAGATTTTTTTTGCATGTGCCATTATAATATACATTTCTTTTTTTTCTGGCATTCTTTAGATATGTTGAATTATTATTTCCATAATAACCACTGAATTATGGGAAATGTAGTGAAGCATATCCAGAGGACTCAAGTTTAGGGAGACTGAACACACTTTCAGTAGTTCTTTAGCATGCACACTGTTGGATAATACTGTATGTATACAGTACAAAAGAGGTTAGGGAGGCAGTTTTATAAATTATTTATCTTAACACTGGTGGTTTCCATGGTAATACACTTATAATAATGGCATAAGATACTCCAGGGAGCCTTGTGATCTGATATCCATTATATATACACTGCTCAAAAAAATAAAGGGAACTCTTAAACAACACAATGTAACTCCAAGTCAATCACACTTCTGTGAAATCAAACTGTCCACTTAGGTAGCAACACTAATTGACAATCAATTTCACATGCTGTTGTGCAAATGGAATAGACCACAAGTGGAAAGCATAGGCAGTTAGCAAGACATCCCCAATAAAGGAGTGGTTCTGCAGGTGGTGTCCACAGACCACTTCTCAGTTCCTATGCTTTCTGGCTGATGTTTTGGTCACTTTTGAATGCTGGCAGTGCTTTCACTCTTGTGGTAGCATGAGACAGAGTCTACAACCCACAAGTGGCTCAGGTAGTGCAGCTCATCCAGGATGGCACATCAATGCGAGCTGTGGCAAGAAGGTTTGTTGTGTCTGTCAGCATAGTGTCCAGAGCATGGAGGAGCTACCAGGAGAAAGGCCAGTACATCAGGAGACGTGGAGGAGGCCGTAGGAGGGCAACAACCCAGCATCAGGGCTGCTACCTCCACCTTTGTGCAAGGAGGGACAGGAGGAGCACTGCCAGAGCCCTGTAAAATGACCTCCAGCGGCCACAAATGTGCATGTGGCTGCTCAAACGGTCAGAAACAGACTCCATGAGAGTGGTATGAGCGCCCAAAGTTCACAGGTGGGGGTTGTGCTTACAGCCCAACACCATGCAAGACATTTGGCATTTGCCAGAGAACACCAAGATTGGCAAATTCGCCACTGGCATCCTGTGCTCTTCACAGATGAAAGCAGGTTCATACTGAGCACATGTGACAGACGTGACAGGGTCTGGAGACACCGTGGAGAACGTTCTGCTACCTTCAACATCGTCCAGCATGCCGGTTTGGGTCAGTAATGGTGTGGGGTGGCATTTCTTTAGGGGGCTGCACAGCCCTCCATGTGCTCGCCAGAGGTAGCCTGTTGCCATTAAGTACCGAGATGAGATCCTCAGACCCCTTGTGAGACCATATGCTGGTGCGGTTGGCTCTGGGTTCCTCCTAATGCAAGACAATGCTAGACCTCATGTGACTGGAGTGTGTCAGCAGTTCCTGCAAGACAAAGGCATTGCTGCTATGGACTGGCCCGCCCGTTCCCCAGACCTGAATCCAATTGAGCACATCTGGGACATCATGTCTCACTCCATCCACCAATGCCACGTTGCACCACAGACTGTCCAGGAGTTGGGGGATGCTTTAGTTCAGGTGTGGGAGGAGATCCCTCAGGAGACCATCTGCCACCTCATCAGGAGCATGCCCAGGCGTTGTAGGGAGGTCATACAGGCACGTGGAGGCCACATACACTACTGAGCCTCATTTTGACTTGTTTTAAGGACATTACATTAAAGTTGGACCAGCCTGTAGTGTTTTTTTCCACTTTAATTTTGAGTGTGACTCCAAAGCCAGACCTCCATGGGTTGCTAAATTTGATTTCCATTGATAATTTTTGTGTGATTTTGTTGTCAGCACATTCAACTATGTAATGAACAAAGTATTTAATAAGAATATTTCATTCATTCAGATCTAGGATGTCTTATTTTTGTGTTCCCTTTATTTTTTTGAGCAGTATATGTGTGTGTGTATACATACATACACACACACACACAAACACGGATGGACGGACAGACAGCATAGCATAGCATAGCATAGCATAGCATAGCATAGCATTGCATAGCATTCATTGATTCATTTGGAAGATCTCTGTTGTAATTGTATCAAATTTCTGAGTAAGCTTTCATAAGATTCTTGTAATGGAAGTTGATGGTAGAGGATATTAAACACCTACTATATATGTTAGGATACACTCACAACTGCGTAATATAATTAGAAAACATAATGACATTCGCAGGTTATAGGTATTAACAAATTTTTTGTTCTTGATGAATCTGAAGGTAATGGAGGCAGATTTCTGACTCCCCCCGCCGTCATTTCTATGCATAACATATAGGTTTCTTTGGAATTAATTACCTTACCCTTCCCTGTCTTTCTATCAGTGTACATGAGGAATGTGTTATTGAAATGAAGCATGTATCAGTTTTTAAAAGAGAATTCAATCCAAGCATTACTGCAATTTTTAAGACAGATTTATAGTAAAAGAACAAAGGCATATTTATATTCTTATATTTATATTCTTAACTAGATTTATACATATTAGAAGATAAAGCTATGATTGAGATACCATTACCTCTTAGGTAACTGAGAACAAGAATTAAGACAGGAATTTTATTTATTAATTTTTTTGCAGAGAAATATTAGTTGAACTATAATCCTAAACACATTTATGTGAAAAAACCTCTATTTTTCAATCTATGTGATTGATTTCCAATTCATTTCAGTGTGTGTTTGGATTGCCATATAAAAATATAGCAGGAAATAGAGGATTCAGAGAGCAGAGAAACCAGGAATTTCAGGGGAAAATAGAATAAAAAGTATAATTAGAAATTATAAACTAAAAACATTTAAAAATGCAAGTAAATTTTACCTAGAAGCCAATTAGTAACTGAATCAGAGATGCATGTTCATTAGTAACCATGTATATGCAAATTAATGGCTTGCTGTTTGTAAATTGCCCAGAGTCACTTAGGTGAGATGAGCAGTATAGAAATTTGATGAATAAATAAATAAAATAGTCTCTGACAATCCATATCCTTCTCTAAAAGGTACAAATCAAAATTAGCAATAACAGGGAAAAAAAAATACCCCCAAAATATGAGACAGTGAAATATTATAACATACTTCATCCTGAATAACATATAGAAGGCATTTAAGATGAAACTCTACACTATATAGAAATCTTTCAGTTCAATGGTTTACAGACTTTTGTGGCCATGCTGCTAATTGGACAGCAGTTCATTTCCAGATCCAGCATATGAGATACAGAAGATTGGCTGGCCCTTTCCTCTGATTTGCTATTTATTTGTTGTCATTAATAAAATAAGATATAGATGAACTTGCTGTCCTTCAAATATTGCTAAAGTGCAACTCTCAAGAGCTTCTATCAGCATAGATGATGGTGAGGGATTCCGGGAGTTCTAAATCAGCAACATTTTCAACCCTAAGGCAAAGATTCATCCTAGAATTTCCTGGGCCAATTTCAAGTGTTCTCAGTGAATTATAAAAAAACAATAACACAGTAAAGCTTAGTGGTGGAATAGAGCTGGGGAAATATATAATAATCATCATCAGATAAATAGCAATATTTACTGGAATTGTGTACCACCATAGCAAGGGTTAAATGGGGTAGATGAGCAACAGCAATAATAATATAAACAGCCATGAGATATCAAAGATAAGATAGAGGAAACAATGGGTAATAATTCTGTTTCCATAAATAAATGGAATCTCCAAATGGATAGGTCCTATACTATCAATAAAAAGGCATTGTGCCACTATTCTGCTTTTCCTTTTCTTAATGGACATTTTTCTGGCAAGGAAGAAGATGTAGGAAATATAGGAGAGATAAAAACAAAAGATTATGAATATAATCTGTGAATATAATCAGCCATTTGAGAGTAACTGCTGTGTCTGGAAGCATCAATAGAAACAAATCATTTGAGACCATTGAAGTCTATATGCTACAGTACAGCTTAGCTGGTTCACAATAAAGGGGAAAATCATACCTATAAGTCAGAACCATGCAAGATTCTATTTCATGCTGAATATGTGTGGTAAAGTAAAATAACTTAAGTAAGGTCATTAGTATTGATGGTGCCTGTTATGTCCTGAGCCTGTGCAAGCAGGCTCGGGGCATTGCAAATGGTCCCGGACAGGTGCAAGCTGCTCGGGACCAGACAGGCTGTCGCCAGTACTTGTGCGCATGCGCGGGTGCTGGCGCGCCAAAGTTGCAGATTGACCCG